TAATTTAATCATATCTGAGAATAAGCAAACAGTTTTGTAGGACTGGAGATAAAGACTGCAAAATGTGTTCTATAGAATTGGTGTATCGCAAGAATCTTGTCTAGCTCCTCTCATGTTTTTGGCAACATCAATATTCTCTTTCTTAACTTTCAAATTTTAAGTACAACGATGTTTGCTGAGCATACCAGCAATTTAATAAAGGGTTTATCAGCGCTATGCAAGACAATTAATAACTAAATTTATTCATTAAGTTTGAAGTTGCAATACATAAGAAATTTTTCCACATTTCATTTTCCTATGATATATTTAATTTGAACAAATAGAAGTGAATCCATTTTAGGCGGACTTGGAAGCTAAATTCCAAACTTTTAGAAAAACAGGGCTTTAAAAAATTGTTATCTTACGAATAAGTTGAAATCTGTTCAATATTCAGCTGCTTTAGCGATAACTGGTGCGTGGAGTGGCACATAACGCGAGAAGCTGTACAAAAACTGGGGTGGAAATTGTTATACCTCCGCAGATTGGGCAGGCAACTTGTTCTCTTTTATAAAATCAGAGTTACATCGATCCCAGAATCAATATATTCCTCTTGCAAACGTAATGCTTACAAGGCAATACGTTACAAGACAAGTTTCTATCGAGTGGAACACAAATGATCCCGATATAAGCATATCACCTACAGTGGGTGCATTCAAAAAGAGGTTAGCATCATTTATTGGTCCCCCCCCCCCCGCAGAATAAGTGTTGGTATTCATGATCAAAAAGGTTTTTCGATCCTTACGCAGCTACGTGTCGGCTTCAGTAAACTAAATCTCAATAAATTTAGAAAATTCTAAGGATACAATTGACCCAATGCTTTCCATTACAGATGGTATTAAGAATACGAAACACTATTAGCTGTTCTGTTACTAGTAAGATGTTCAGAGACGAGATCTTCGCGAAAGTATCAACGCAATATTGTGTGTAAATGGCCTATCAAGCCTTTCTAACGAAGCTCTAGTTCAAGTTATTTTGTTTGGAGATGAAAGGTTACCGAATGATATTAACAATGAAATTATCAAGGCTACACAAAATTACATCCACACAGTGCACCGTTCTGATAACTTTAAATTTTCCTACCCCTTTTGTGAAATATTTCCAAGTTGTTTGTAATTTTGATATCCTTATGTTTTGTTACTGAGAGCTCTCCCTGCAGACAGCAACATCTTAAAGGCACTCTGTCCCATGGGTTAACCGTTCAAAGAAAACAATAGGTTTTGTTGCGCGTTTATGATCGAAAAAACATTGAGAATAAGCTGATTGGATACGTAACAATAGGTCTATTGTGTACTCCCACCAATAGGAAATTTAAAAGGCCAGCGAAAAGCGTTGAGTTAACTACCAAGTTACCACAGGTTACCACATGTGATGAACTACCATGCTTTATGTAGTATTGTTTTGTATATTGTGCCTATCGTAATTAACTGTGAGCGTTAATAAAAAGAAAAATAGTTAGGGAACAGATTAACAATAGATAACGACAAGATAAATTTTATTATGTAGGGTTACACATACCGTGGAAATGTGGGAATTTTTCTTGTGTATGGCGGGAAAATTTGTCTGAGAAACAATGCTTCAGACGACGCTGGGTAACAGTCCATCGAACGACATTTAAAGCTGCAAAGCAAACGAATTGTCATCAAAAGATCACGGCTTATGTTACTTTCGAGGGCACCTTTTTTGTTATACACCCTTAATTCAAATAATATCGAAACAATCTGGTAGATACAACGGGTTACTATTTTGATACAGCATACTAAATGTTTGAAACAGATTTAGGGATTCTTTCGAAAACAAAAGGAATTGGAGTCAATTCTCACATTATCCTAGTGTGATATAGGACAGATGTCCACACTAGTGTGAGGCTAGTTTAATATGCGATTGGCCTCACCTCCATTTCTTTCAACATGCTCAACATAAACAACATTCTCTCATACTTTTTCAACATTCTCAGTCAACTGCCCCTAGTTGCCCCCTTAAACAAAATGTTTTGGCATGCTCAGTATAAACAAATTCATTAACTGGAAAATTTCATTCTCATAAATAAAAAGATCCTATTTAGCTTTATTCTACTTGCTCCGGGGAAAGGGCTACACCAAATAGATTGAATTTGTTTGGATTTTCAAGGTGACAAAAACAAAAATCAGGTGAAATTTCCATATGGAACTTGGAACGATATGGAAATTAGTATATCGTTTCCATATGGAAAAGTGTATGCCTAAATGCAATTTATTACTGTAAAATTTTTTCATCAATGTATGGTAATATAAAACTTGTACGATATTCAGAATCCCGGAGCGGTAGCTGATGAAGCAGCACCGCTGTTGTAAATTTGCAAACTGCATTACCCCAAAGCGAGCTATAGGATATTTTATGCTCATAAACTTGAACTAGAAACCAGACAACACGCAGCCATTGGGCTAGCAGAGGCTATAGCCCACCACTTTTTTTACAATAATGGGTTAAAACTTTTTAGAAAGTTTACCCTAATGCAACTTTGGAAATTTTACTCTAACGGATCCAAAGACGTGGCAGTTCGTCTTGACTAGGAACCCTGTTTTGGTCATTTTCTTGGCGGCTTGTCTTGTTAAATCTTCTCTAAATTGGACTTTTTATAAAAAAGAGTGGAAAAAGGCAAGTATTTTCTAAAAACGGCATTTTCCGGCGTTCTTAGGGGCGTGGTCTCAAAAATTATTGGTCACGCCCTTTTCAGCCTACCTTCTTTTAGAATGTTACACGGTGCCTGCTAGAAAAAAATTTCTGCGCTAATGTACCCTATTAAGGACTGTAAACTTTTTATCTCTCCAAAAGATAATAAGCAATAATATAGATTTCTAAAATATAAAATATAAATATAGATTTCTAAAAAGAAGCCGTACGGGTCTTGTATATCGGCCCAATTCAGAAACATTTTAAAAAGCAGCCAAGCATTGGAATACCTTGCTTGGAAAAAATCTAGTTTTTTTCTCAATAACGTGCAAAATTCGCCATTTATATGGCTTAAATCTAGAACTACTTTAATGATTAATCACCGACCCTTGCTGAAAAACTAGAAGAGAGAAAAAAGTAGCGACTTTTATCTCGCTGCACCAAGCACAGTATGGACAATTATACCCTGGGTACCAGACTCACTATATAAAATAATAGAGAGTCTGGTCTAGTGCGCCCCATTCTCGTTCTGGTGAACTTACTTGAAAGAACTGAAGTCTATTTAACAGACTAGGCCCGTGAAACAAGACTGTCAGATAAATAATAAAAAAACTCAGTAGTCAGAGGAGTTTTGGAAAATCTTAAAGCAAATGTGTTTTATTTAGTTCTTTGAAGTCAACATTTTTAATACAGTGGTAATAGACTTTTCTGCCTCAAGATAACAATCAAATCAGGTTTAAAACGCCATTTGGCAGCAAAAAACATGTGCGAAGCGTGAAATTAAAGTCAGCAAAATGCAGTTATTAAATGTTAATCCTTATCAATTTCGTATACAACTTAAAATAAGTCTTAAGGAATTTTCCTCATAAATTGTGTGTACTTTCAACGTCTACTTCCTAACTGTGAAGGCAGCGCGCTTGGACACCGCGGCGGTTAGAATCATCACGTTGGAAGGTCACCACAGCAAATATGGGCAATACGACAAGCGAAGCCCCGTATGCCGGGCGAAATATTTGCTATAACTGATTAACTGTGTTTGTTGTTGTTTGTTCTCGGCGCCTGGCGGTGTTTCTTATCTACTGCATTTCACTACAAGGCCTAATTTCTTTGCAACGAGAGGCACAGCCTGAAATATCAGAGACTTTCAAAAGCCAGTTGGCAATATGGCGAAGGTGTCTCTTCTCTTTACAAACAAGGCTTTCAATGCTGTTCTGTGATCAGTTCCACAACATGCGGAAAATATTCTTTGAGTACAGTTTTAACAGCATCTTCAAACTCAATCGTTACGGTCGCTAGCATTTATTTATGTTCTGTTCTGCTGTGACCTTTGAACGTACAGAAATCTGTACACTCGCTCCTGATTGGTTAATATCAGCACACCAGAACGAGAATGGGGCACACTAGACCAGACTCTCTATTTTATTTTATACATAGTGAGTCTGGTACCCAGGGTAGGACAATTATTGACAACAACAAAAACCCAAAAATCTATTAAACATGATACAATTTGAATTCGTTTTATAAGTTTAAAACTTTGTTTAAATTGCAAAAGTTGAGCTTCAGAAGAAAAACAAAACTTCTGAGGCTGTTTAAATTTATAGCGAGAAATAGTCGACAGAAAATACAAGGCCCGAGTACTGAATATTTAAACAAACTTTATCCATCCGTGTTGGAAAAATAGAAAACAGTGTTGCTAAAGAGCCGTAAATAATTACTTTTCAGGAAAATTTTGACGGCGAAATGATTGCGGAACTACGGACAGAAATAGGTGCACTTACATATGAGCGAAACAATCCACGGAGAAAGCCGGCGCACATGGTGAAAAACTATTTCTTCGAGCGAGCCTTGAACGCTCGAATTCGTACTTATACTAGGTGAAATTGCCAAGTAACAAACACAAAAGTATTTTCTAAAACAGCTTGTAAACGTACCTGGTTAATAAGTAGAGGAACACTGACCTTTCCAATCATGATTTGACTCGTCTTACAGCTAGCTCTCACTCAGTCACACGTAAAAACTAAACAACACACTTCAATTGAGGCTTCAACAAGCAAAGTGAGACCCACGCTATGACAAAACTTTAAATACTGATAGGATAACCAAAGGAATGAAAACGCAAGGATTGAACCACACATCTTACCCTTATATAATAAATATAATCCCCAGGAGGCCAAAAAGCGCCCCCGGTATTGCAAATAAACTAGTAAAGCGGGTACAAGGAAAACGCAAGGAAGCCCGGCACAAGAGACCATAACGAACAACAAACAATAACAAACTGATGCGAATTAGTTTACTTCGTCATCATTCAATTGTATCACTTTATCGCTGTTTATGAGGTATTAAATACATATCTTTTTAGATTGTAAATTCTTTATATAGAGAGGGTATCTGAAAAACTGGGCTCTAGAACAAGAACATGAATGCTACATATACTACACGTTTTTCTTATAAGAAATTTGGATCAGCAATAAATATTAAAAGTTCCTTAGCTTTTGGCGTTATAGTACTTCCAGTTTCTTAGTTACTTTCATATTTTCTGGCATTTTTGGAAAAATATAGACGCAGATCTTCACGAAAAAACAATGAAGATTTAAATCCAAACGGCATCTTTTCCAAAAATGAAAATAAAATAAAATTCGATAAAATAAAAACTTTTTAACTGTATTTTTTTAAATTGGAAATTTTACAGTTTCTAAATTTTTCTTACTAATAAAGTTTCTTATAAATAAAAAACGTGTATTGCAACACATGACGATGCAAGATAATGGTAGAATATTTTGATTAAACTGATCACATGAACGGCAAACAAATTATAGCATGTTTCCTGTCTACTGATGTTAGGTCGTGTCTGCACTTTGCTTGAGAGTCGAAATGAAAGTACAATGCCCAGATGGAGAGCTAGGCCAAATGGCCTTCAAGCTGATGGCAGCAACTTGAAAATTATAGCACATTTTTCAACTGTTTACATTCAACCCAAGTTTTCTAGTATTAATGCGTTTGTACAAAGGTGTGTTAATTAAAAGAGAATAAAAAGTCAGTTGTTTTGTTAATATCACAATGAGTAAGACTTGGCGGTCATCTCCCTAGCTATAAGAAACCCTTATATTTGAGCCTTACGGCGGATCAACTGTTTCATTAACTAAATGTTGGTTTATTTACCAGTGAATCGCTTTTCTATTGGTAGATTAGAAAAGATCAAGAACTGAACTGAAGTCAAAACACAGTGTTTAGTAGAAGACAGACACCAAGGGTGTTGGCTCAATGTTTAGAGTTTAAGGATAGCAAATAAGAGCTCGTCATTAAATGCCAATCTCATTAGAGTGCTTCCCTTGGAACAGCTTTGCATTTAAAATCATGAACTACGACTCACCATTGCAGTCTTACAACCAACGTTAGTACAAAGCCCATGATTATGTATGAAAGCTTGCAGGTGATGGAAGGAGACAAATCTAAGTCAACAGGCAACATAGAATGTATTTGCAAAAAGCATGGCACGTACAGTATGAGCATTTTCGGCCTAGAAATTTTCTGATGATGAACTTGAGCGAAGATGTTTCGAAATTTTTTAAATAATCATGTGAAGTTTTAAAGAAAAAGTTTTTGGTCATATTTACTTCCTTTCTAATACTTTTCTTTGAAACTGTGACGATAAAATATCAATGTGAATTCCTCAAAGGGGAAATTTCTTCAAATAAAGGGAGAAAGCATTCAAAATTTTAGTAAAAGCTCTTTTGCAAATTTGATTTTAAATCGATTTGACTTCGAATGCAATTCTGTCACAGTTCATGTGAAACGTTTTGGTGAAGTAATCCATGAAATATATTTCAGCGTTCATTTGAAGATGTTCTCTAATTCCAAGAGGAGGTCTCGGGCTACATTTAGGCAATTTACTTCGTCATCTTCAAATTTTTAGGAATTAAGCAACACTTTGACAAGACGTTAGCAAATTTTCACGAGCGAATTCGAACGAATTGAAGGAACAAGCGTTAGAAACTCAGGTAGAAAGCTCGAGTTGACAGCATTGTTAAACCTAAAACCAACTTTTGAGAATGAGAATCACACTTAAATGCTTCACGATAATTCATGCATTTGAGACATTAAGCAATAAAACGATTTATTGCACTTTACTTTTTTTCTATCTTTTTTGTTTTTCTTGTTTTTAATAAAAATACGCTTGTGCAAAAAAGAGGGGGAGGGGGGCTGAAGCCCCCCAGTCCCTTCCTCTGGCGTCGCCCATGAAGTGGTTTCAGTAACTTTACCTGCAGACCCACTCCCACAAAGTAAACTGCTATGATAATGAATGAACTGTTGAGCAAGGATACACACTGTCATCAGTAGAAAAAGAGCAATGCTTCAAAAACAACAATATTATAAGCAATTTATCGTCTGAAACAACTGAAATCAATAATTTACAGTATTGAAATAGAAATAATCAATTCACTACTTTGAAAATAAATATAAATTTGAACCAATTTACAGCTCTATTTTGAAAAGAAACAAATCTTAAGCAACCAGGAAAGAACACAAACTTGCTTGACAATGCTGGCAAAAATTACAAGTTGAAGGAAAAAAGAAAATGTTGATAAGATGGTAATTTTTGAAAAGGCTGTGACAACAGAATTTTACTAAGAGATTTTTTCTTGATTGTAGGGCAGTTGACATTTTTCGCAGAAGATAAATTTATAGACAACTAAGGTATTATCAGTGTTTGGACACATCCATTATTAGTCACTAAGAGAAGCACATTATTTAATGTATCTAGTAATTTTTCAACAGTATTGTATTGATTTAATAAAAAAACACATATAAAATATAAAGGTGTGAAAACATATAATTATAATATTGCTTAACTTGTTGCTATTTACAAAAGGTGCATTGTTTTGTAAAACTGGCTCTGAGTGAAGTATTTATAAGATGCAACTGTGTAATTTACAGGTTAAAGTGATGTTTGGTTTACAAGTTGATAAGGTGCATAATGTTGTTTACAGGCTTAAGACAAATTTTAAATTAAATGTTTATGCAATTCAAACATCATATACATACGTTCTAATATCATAATTTCATTTAGTGATTTGCATATGATTTATAGCTTTTAACAGAACAGAGCAAGGGAATTTTGGTGTTTCAGGGAAAGTTATATTATGTGCACAAATTGGGTCAAGGTTTTCAAACTCAAAGTGTATATCATAATAGGCTCTGTCCTAATCTTAAAAACACATCTCACAAAACTCCTTGTATTCTATAAGCTATCTCATATTTCTGAAGGAAGACAGATTTCTTAATTCAATGTAATCAATGGATTACTACATTGTTGATTGAGGGATAGGATTTTGTTTCAATGTCACAGAAAAAGGGACACAACAATTTTCTAGTACAAATTGTAAAGATACAAATAGAAACTTTCTACATAGACTTCTTAGAGCTTTTATGTCCTCTTCAAAAGCATTGCTTTGAAGATTGCATTTAGCTAGCTTTCTTTAATATCCCCATCTCCTTAGGTACTTTGGACAAAAAACTCTCATATGTAAAAGAAGCAGCCTTACAGTTTTTATGTTTTTTAAATGATTAGACTGAAGATGATCAGGAAAATTAAGTTCTTGATGATTTACTGTTGATGGGATTGAAAATTATGATGATATTTGTAGTATATAAACATTAAAACTGTTTATTAGTAATTTGGGATACCTGTGTTCTGTTATTTTAGCATACAAAAGTTTAGTTTCAAGGAGTGATTGCAGTGGGAAGATTATGTTTGGTTATGTTACAAAAACACAAAATACTTTCCTAAGTTGACCTAGCAAATTATGATATATTACAGCATTAATACCATGGAATTAATTTTACAATTTGCTTTTTATACATACTGGTCGGTAAATAGAACATTAATTTTTCAGTTTGGTTGAAATTTTGTCAAAAAAGCACTTTAAGACCCATTGCTAACAATGAGCCTTTGTGAGGGTGGCAAATTATCCAGGCGACAATCAAGACAATGGTAGTAAACTTCTACAGATTAACCATAATTGATTTCAGACTGTCTGAAAATGCATTATGGGATGCTTGTGTAGTGCAGAGGCTCATTGTTAGCAATGAGTCTTTAAACTCATTTCAGAAGTTTGATTTAAGCAATAAACTGGATAAAGTAAGAAAATGACATTACTCATTCCTTTTTTAGTTTTTTATATTCTGAGGCATTGTAGCATCCATTGGGTTTCTTCTCTAGCCACCAATCATTCCTATAATGATATTTCTGCAGCTCAATACCACCTCTAGGTGCAAACATCTTAATTCCACAGAATTTCAATGTTGGTAAAGGCTTTTCTATCAGATGAGCAGGGAATATGTGATGCTTTCTATAATTGACAAAGAAAGCATATGACTCAATCCCAACCCTGTTCATTGTCCCTGAATAGTTCTTAAATATCATCAAATCACCACGTGATCTTCCTCTTGTGATTCTGTATGCACCAAACCATGGACGATAAAGTATTTTAATACCTTTAGCTTTGAAATCACTCAAAAGTTTATCTTCATCTATGTTATCCAGTTCTTCTGCTCTTAGAAATAGGTCTACATCAGTGTCCCAAGGCAGTGGATCTTTGTATCTCAATGCACCAAATAAGCTACAAATACAAAAATCGATCGTTGTACAATTTGACAGAAATTTTTAAATTAATAAAAAATGCAAACCAAACTTAACACCTGTTATGACCATCAATATATTATCTAAAAATTCTAAACATTCTTCATACAAAATATACATATAAGAGGTTTATTTATAGGTATTTGGGAAAGGTTTATTTAGAAATGACAGATTATAGAGCAACTTTTCTGGCAGCCCATCCCACAAAGTCTCAAAAAATTTTAAGATACATTTTGAAACAAAAGGGAAATCAGGAGGGCTGTTTTTATATTGTAGCAAGTTGATTTGCAACAACAGAAAACCATGGCAAAAATCTTTATGATTTCAATTTATCCAGGGGTGCATCATTCAAGCATGTTTTATTGGCATCCTTCAGAAACAGAAAGTGTTTAGGGAATCTCCTTTTATCTGTGATGAACAGAACTTTTTGCAGGAATACTTTGTGCTCACTCTTTGGTGCTTAGGCTTAAAGTGAATTATAAAAATGGGGACCTTGAAGCGTTTCCTGTTGGGAAAAATATATAGTTTTGATCATTTTTCAAAAAAATCGCCATTAAGTCTGTCCTTTTATCAGTTATCACCACAACATACGAGCACATACCTAAATGAAAGTGAATTGATAATGTTTTAGATCAGGTCATTGACTTTAACACAACTATGTGTTTATCAAATGGCGTTATAAATAGGAGACTGCTGTTTCCTTACATAGCACATATCAACAAGCTATTGCATTATCCTCTTAAAACTTGCAATGGTAAAGGAATGTTTTCACAAGAAATGAACAACATATAGGGTGATTAATGCCGTGAAACATTAAAGTGAGAAAAGGTTACACCGTGCTGTCAAATACAAAACAATTTCTTTTCAACTCACAACATATAAACAAGGCATTCCAAAAAATGCCACATTTGACCTGCGAAACATGGCAAAGGCAGAAATAGTGAAACTCAGTACTTTTCTTTCTTGGGGAAAAGAGAATGTAATTTATTCAAAACTGTTGGAAAAAGCCGAACAACTATGGTGAATTATATTTGGTGTAAAGTTTGTGCGAAAAACCATGATTCCATCATCAAAAGTCCATTCTATAAAGAGGAAGTAAAAACAGCAGTGAAACCTTTTGTTGATGGGGCAAACAATGTTACCAAATATAAAATTTAGAGACAACTGAAAAGCAATATCATGAAATTGAACTGTCAGTTGAGCAGGATTGACCGATTGATAAAAGAATTGATGTGTCCTGCATTAATGCATCTGCAAAGGATTCATACAGAAAGCTGTTGAGAACTGTATATGAGCTTGCTTTAACACCAAGCATGCCGCTAAAGCATTTTAAAGTGTTGGTAAAATGTCAAAAAACAAAATTGAGCTAAACTTATACAAGGAAAACAAGATGGGCAAGATGGCTCACTTTGGAGGCACAGATGCACAATCAGGTAAAAAAGCCAACGGTTTCTTGATAAAGATGGACCTTGGCATTTCAAAATATGGTACATGTTTGGTCAGTGCAACAGCAGATAAGGCAAGTGTGAATATGGGAAAATATTGAGGTGCTCTCACACAACTCAAACTTGAATGACCTTGGCTCCTAACAATTCTCTGTGTGAATCATAGAATTGAGCTTGCTGCAAAGGCTACCGTGAACAGCCCATGCATCAAAGACGATGAAGATTTTTTCACAAGCACCTTCAATATTTTAAAACAGTCAGGTGCCCTAAAAACAGAAGTCACAGCTGCAGTTGAAGCCATTGGCACATCATCCGTCGTCACCTTGCCTCTCCCAACCTATGCATTGTTTTCCTGGCGTCATTTGATTATATTTAGAGCAATCAGATTAATATATGTGTGTAGATAGATTCATTTAGTTAAGATAACCCCAGTTCAAGTCAACACCGTCTTACTGAAGCTTTCTGTGTTCTCTGCATGTTAAATAAGAGACTACACCAAAGTTCTACTCGTCAACGGAGGGTCGTCACAGAAACACAACTATTAGGTAACGCCGGTCAACAAAAACTTGCGTTCCTAAACTCTCACAGATTGCAAATGCTTCCAGCTTTGAAGATAGCATTTGAGAACTATGTGACTGAGCAGAAATGTGGGAGCATCAAGGACAAACTAAAATGCTTGCTTAAGAGGATGAAAGATGCAGACATTTTGTGGGATTGCAACAGCTTTGGATATTCTTGAAGTAATGCAACCATTGTCCTTTATTTTTGAAGGTGTAGGGCTTCTGGCTTTTAATATGAAGCCTACAGTAGACATTGCTATTGGCCAGCTCCAAGATATTTTTGAATACCACAGAGAAGTACTGCTTGATAGCCATCTGAGGTCTTTTACGTCTGAAAACAATGACGTAGGAAAGATTGTGCTGGTTTGAGAATATTGCAGAGCAGGACACAAGCAACGAGTCCACAAAACAGGGAATACATCAAATTATGGATGGATGATATTAGCCAACTTTGTCCAGACACTGCTCAAACATCATTGAACAAAATATCATCAATATCTGCTGATTTAACTGATATCTTGAGAAAGCGATTGGAAGATTTTGAATCACCAATTTTTATGGCAATGTAATGCTGCTGTAAAATTTTTCATAAAAGCAGCTGTAAAAAAACCCTTTAACTCCAGAGAAGACATGGCAAAATATTGTCACACATCGCAAGAGTGAATACCCTAATGCCTGCCTGCTAGTTTCTTTGCTGATTTGTCTTTCTGGCTCCAACTCCACACTGGAGCTACCTTCTCTGTGTCAACATTGGTGCTAAGTCGCAGAAGGCTTTCTCTTCACCGTGAAACCATGAGGGACTTGATGCTTATTAAAAGCAATAACAAAAACTGGGGATGCCAAGAAAGAGAAGATATTATTGAAAGAGCCCTTATCATAAAGGAGAATAGGATTGACAGAAGGACAGCCTGAAGTAAAGAGAGGAAGAGTTGAAGCACTATTTGAAGAAGTTTCTGAATCTGAATCAGAGCTCTGTGACTCAATCAGTCCTATAAATGGAGTTGACAATCATGAAATGGACATAGAATGACTTTGTATTACAAATACTTGAATAATATTTTCTTGAACTTGGTTGCAAATCAAATTTATCTTCTGTTAGCCTTTGATAACATTGTATTGCTATTAAACTTTTTTAATGACGATGAGTCTCATTGGATCCAGTGTGTTTTTATTCCTAACAAGTGGTGTTCCTTATTTGTCTTGTTTTAAGGAGTGGTAATACAAAATTTAAAGGTAGAAATACACATAAAAATGTCCTCTTAAGGTGATAAGTGTTTAAAGAATTGTTAAGGTAATGTATTTTTGCATTTGTAAACAATCAATTATAAAAAAATAAACAACAGTTCTGCAAGGGCTAAATAGCCCACATAGCCAAACTGGCAAGGGCTTTTATAGTCTTTTTTTCCTGGAGAGGCCTGCTTCAATGTCCTGAGAGCTGAGAATTTGTAGGCAAGGGAGGATTTAAACAAAGAGAGTTATGCGGGCTTTGTGTTTAAACATTCTTACAAAAACATTCTAAATGTGTTCCACCAGTCCCTGTCCTCAAAATTGTTCTTAGATTATTCCCTGGCTCTGTTCTATAGAGATACCCAAAAATTATTACTAGTAAAACACATAAACTTGGGGTAATTTTGGGGCAGAGGAAAGTTGGAGCACACTGAAGTAATTTGGACCCTACAAAATATCTCTTATATTGGGTGACTTATATGAATATTTTACATTCACACTTATTGAGATTTGACATCAATTTATTGCTGTCCCATACAACTCTCCTATGACAATTCATATCGAAATATATAATCAAAAAGTCGATAAAGAAACTTCTTTGTATATATTTGATCATCCACATGCACATTTTTGTCTAAATATAGCCTCATTGAGTGCTAGTTCACCCCAACATACAGCTTAGATTAGAGTTCCCCCGATAAATGGACATGGCTTGCCACTTAGGAAAAGAGACAATGAACACTGCAATTTATGTAAAAATATACTCACCTCCCATAGATAGGGAAATGCGTCAGATTGTTGGAGTCTAAAATAATATGCGTATCTCTGGTAAGTTGAATCAAGTCCCTCATCTCCTCAATAGGTGTCTGACACCGAGAATTTTTCTCAGCGCTATGCAGGTACCAAGACCAACTCTGTTCATTCAAAAAGTAATAAATATAACACACAGCAAATGTAGAGATAAGTACAACCATGCACTTCAGCTTTCTAACATACATCTTTCTGCCGTTTAGCCGCGCCGACACTCATAAACAACAACGACTAACTAAGCAAGAAGCTTCGTAGACGGAGGGGCCTAGGCACCCGACTGAGCACTTGGCTTTGTACAGTTTGGAAAAAGTATCCTCTCTTTTGCTTCAGGTAGACTTGGCTCAGTTGTGAAATGCAGCTTTCCTCCGAAAAGACATTAATGAATAAAGGCATTGGGGTCAAAGTCTTTAGAGGAACAAACGACCTTTTACCCCGGTCGTTAACAGTCTAAACTTGTGAGAAATGCATCAAAGGTACCTCATGTAATTAGCCTTTCCAGGTTTGCGAAGTGCGGTCTCTTTTTTTAGGATACGCGGGCGTCTTTTGTCTCGATAGATCTCGATGGATCTCCGCGCAATCGGCGGTCAGAAAAAACTTTTTTTGTGAAAATATTGGATTTATGCTTACTACTATAGGTTTCATGCTAATACTGAATAATCTCTCCCCCCCCCTCCCGTCTAGGCTTAGGCTTATTGATTTTTGAAAAAATTAAAATGTTTTGTGATTTGAAAAATTTGTATCTATCTTAAAATGATACTTCACCTACATCTTAAAATGATATCTGTATCTATAAAGATTTCGTATTTTAGTAACTTTATTCCCCTTTGCTTTATCTGACCCTTGAAAGAGAAAGGAAATTAGCATTGCATTGGCTTCTTTTCAACTCTTCTCAGATTGTTCCAACCCACTGATTATCAAACTACTTCCAACTCCTGAGATTAGTCTCAGCACCCCCCCCCCCTCCCCGCCTCCCTCATTTCTTCGGTACTCGAGAGTATTCAGCAGTCTGTAGATTGCGGTTTGTTGGCTTATTTCCTCATTATTTTAGGTTTTATTCCCCAAATAATCTGCCACTTCTTGACATATCATTTCCATTTATATGATGAATAAAGAATTTTGGTTCAGGACATCCGACAATGCTTTCATTTACCTTTTCACCTGCCGTTGCACGCTTTTATTTGTAATCAAACTAAATGCTTTTATTTGTAATCAAACCTGCCGCTGTATCTACTTCCCCAGACTTGGATGAAAAAATCTCCACATCTTCTACTAAAATCTACAAAGTGCTGAGAGAAAAGAGGATTAGTATGTTTTTATACAGCACAGACGTATTCGATTGTTGCGGAGCTTGGGCGGAGCTGTGAAAGAGCCACGCAAAGGAAAAGTAATCAGAATGAATGAATGTAGGCAGGGAATTTTGCATTACCATCTAGCAACCTGCCTAACCTAAGTTGTTAATGCTTAAATCATACTTTTTTGATACTTTATCTAAAGTTGGATAAAAACTCTAGCTTAATTATAAAAAATTACAATAAGCTAATTAATACCAACTAACATAACAACAAGATGAAGAAATATATATGTTTATAAGGTCGTAAACTAAGATGAGCTATATAATCTATATATCTATGTGATATATCCTAAGTTAGGTACGTACTGGGTGCATAATTTGCAGGTGCATGGAATCGCAATTTGTTTCATTTGCCTGGGTACAAGTACAGTAGTCTAAAAATTACTTTTGAGAAATTTTGAAGCTGTTTTTGCATCTCATTTTATTCAGCACGTCAAATAACGCGAGAAAAAATGTTTCACTTTTATAGCTTGCAAAGTTAAAACGTTGTAGTGCTATACCTAAAAGAGGACTGGGTACCAGTACCCCAGTCTAAAAATAGTATTTGAGGCATTTCTGAAGCATGATGTGTATTTCATCTTACTCAGCATATCGGGCTACATAGCTGTACTAAATTTCATGATATTATTATAACATGCACAATTTTACTGCTCTGCGTCTGTAATATAGTGGAACTTCAGACAGAGAGCAAGTTGTTTGACAAAACGAAAAGTTTCAACAGCCATAACTTTTTGCTTATAGGTCAAATCACATTGTCCTTTTTATACCTCAGTTTTGCAAGTTCTTTCTGATGGTGACATCAGATTTGAAAAATTTGAAATTTGACGACTGTACATTTGCCAGAATGTTCCCAAGGCTTAAATGATCATTGGCTTTTACTCCTATGATTTAAACTTTAAAAACTTAGGTTAGACAGGTTGCTAGATGGTTATGCGAAAATTCTCTGTCTAATTAAATAGGCCCAACAGAAAATTAAAGTTTGTTAATACAATAATATAACAGCCGTCATCTAGCTTTCGCGTATAATTCATCCGAATTGAGTTTTAGCTGGGGCTGAAATTTTGTAGGTGCCTTAATATCTGAACTCTTTTAAAAGATAACAGCAATGCTTTGCGATCGCTTACAAATGAACTCTTGCAAAGGACAAATAGACAGCTAAATTCTTAATGAGTAGTATTTCTCAATAAAGAACGTAAGGTTGCTTTGGGCTCGAACAAAAAAATTTTCTCTTGGGCTCAGTATCATTACTTTTTTGATGATGTTTCAACATTGATTTTTCTACTCCTTACTATAAACTGTTTCTAGAAAAAGTAGGAATTTTTCTAAGAATTTCACAAATCATTCTTTTTCGTCTAGTTTTTCTTCTGCGGCTAGACATTTTCTTTCGATGCTCTATTATTAAGCTTGTTCTCATAAAACATTTTTTGCATTGAATCCTGTTGATTGACTTGGTACTTCATGTAACTTTGTCCCCTTTGCAGCGGTTTGCAGCCAGGGCAAAAGATAAAAATTATTACTTACAAATGCTTTCATGAAGGTTCAGTTTTCATTCTTTTGCATCTGCTTGTAGAAATGGCCGCCATTGAAAATAGGCTTGATTTATGACAAAATGTCTGCAGACGGTAGCCATTTCAATTTTGCTTTTCTCAGGAAGTTGGCAGATTTCCTATGACAGACGGGTGAAAACAGATACCAAATATTGGTGATAATATAACAGATTTGCTATTGCTGGGTACCAGGGGCGAAACTACCGGGGGGGTGTGGGGGGGTGTGACACCCCCCCAATCCAAAAAATAGTCGATTTTGCAGGGCAATCAAAGATTTCGCAGGGCGCCAAGAAGAGCTTTATTGCCACGCAGAAATGCCACCTCTGAAGTTCGTAAAGAGCCGTTTAGGAATTTTGAAATGGAAATATCGTATTTGTTATGAACCTCCCTTCCTGACATTGCATTATAGAGAACGGAACAGGTATGTAAGGAAAAGCTCCGTTATTTGCAAAGCGAAAGCATTTCTTACCGAAAGTCATAGCCAATGGATGCAATGATTGATGCATATGTTTATGAGGGCAAGGTTGAGTCATGCAAATTAATTTAAGTTTTAAATTATTTTCATGACAAGCACGGCGTCACTGGGGGGGGGGAATAAGGGGCTGAAGTCCCTCACTTTGGTCAAGATAGGAATTTTTTATCATTTTTTCTATTACCTTTTAACAGTGCATAAAAAACATAATAAATCGTTAAGATACCGATTTTGTTTCATCTAATTGCTAACTTTTTCACGTATATTTTTATTATTTTTCTTTTATTTGCATTAAGTCAGTAAATCACTTTCTGTATCATTGCAATGTTTTAATTTTGGATGGCCTTCTTGATACAAGAAACTGCACGTTTCTGTTCAGGAAAAAAATTCTCCCAATCGAAACAACATCTTCCTCTGTCATTCACAACTACGTGCAATCTGAAACGAACGGTTGCCGTTTCTTTCCTTCCCCAACGTCTAACACTAGAGTTTTAGCATGACATCCCCCTCCCGTTTTTTCCCAATTAACAATAATATTTTCAATAAACAATCAATTCTTTTAGTACAATAGTATTTTGCTAAATTTTTGTCTGAAAGATGCTTTTTAGCCCTTTTTACAAGGTATAATTTCAAAAAATTTCTTCACGTCGGACCCAACCATGGTGGGTCCTCCTACCTCACTAAACTCGACTCTTAGCCCCACTGGGTTCAATTTCGTTCCGCTGTCTACATCATTACCCACCCCCCATCCCCCCAATTAGCTGTTTATTAGCTTAATTTTGCAAACCAACATTAAATGAAGTGAATATAAAAAAACAATTTACGCTCACGTAGAGAAATAGAAATTTCATAGGCAATGAAGTTTCAAGTTTGTTTTTTTTGCTTAGAAGTTTGTCCTTGGTAAAGACCAGTGTACACTGGTAGAGCTTTCACTAGTAACCTATAGACAAACCGTTGCTACGAGGTCTGCAGGGCACCACTCAGTTTTGCAGGGCAGAAACCCTTTTCACCCCCCCAAAACTATTGGCCAAGTTACGCCCCTGCTGGGTACTGAACGTATACATCCAACAGCAGCAGATCGAGAACTGGCAAGGAACATCGCAAATGACATGATCGTTGGAAGAGTAGCTTGGCCTTTGCTAGTATGGTTCACCTTTATATAAAACGGTCGAATCCCGTTAAGTCGTACACTCGAAAACTGGAACTTTTAATCAGAAAGAAACGCCGTCAAAGAGGGTAAAAATATATAAGTTTATTCTTACGTAATTATTGATAAATTTCTAACACCATAATAATTCAAATTATTTGTAAAACTACATTTACTGCTTTAAAAGTTTTGCTGCTTGCATTCAGAATAAAGATTACAGAGCACGGGAATTTGTCCTGTGTCAGCATCACAACGATAGTCCTAAATATTGGTATGGTTGACATCAATATGACTGTATTGGAACATGGCATAAAACTTATTCCCATCAACCAGCCTCTTGTTGAAGGCATCGATTGCTTTACAGGGTCTTTTCCCATACACTAATCGGCCGTCATCCTTCTCCAATCTCAAAAAGTCGAAATGTGCGTGCATGGCCCTGCCACCATTTTTAAGATACAGATCGAGCAACATCGGCCAAGCGGCGTTAGTGGAGATATGCACCGTAAAACAATGGCAATCTGCAGCAATATAAGTGTCTTTAGTTCATTTGCATATTCACATATGTGAATATATATATATATAAAGTGCCTATTTGTAGTTCATGGAGGTGTCCTTTTTGCCAACAGGTGTCACCCACTGTATGATTCAATAATAAGAAAAGTAGGTATAACGAGGGGCGTATTTGCCGGGGGCTTTGTGGGGTTTGACACCTATATTTTCTGTGTTCTTCGGTAAATTTTGCCTTGATTCGGTAAAAATGTTTGGTAGTCATCAGGGCCGTTTATATGCCATGTCATATGGGGGGGGGTTGGGTAAGGGGAAAGGGGATGAGGGGGTGTTCTTCAGAGCGAAAAAATATAAAGTGTGCAGTGGGTCATGCCACCACTAAGCAATCTATGGTAGGTAGTATGGAGACAGTTAAGGGGCAAGCGAATTAAAAAAATGCAGAGACTTTTGCATTTACTAAAATCTCTCAGCTCTGTAGAAGGTACTTACAGGTAGACCTCAAAACTTTCAAAAATTGGAAGACACATGTACATGACCGAAAATGTTAAATAACTTAGACTGCTAAACACATAGTCTCTTAGGAGCTTTTCAATTTTGAATCTTTAGCCCCTTCCCACTTTTCTCGACGCTCTTTGGTGCCTGCTAACCGGGTAGTCAAAAAAAGGAAAGTAACGTTGCTATTTGCACATTTTATCGATAAATATCAAAACTTTAAAATTATTCAAATTATTTGCAAAACTACAATTGCTAGGATAAAAGTGGGCCCAGAGGTGAATACAACGTAACCTTGCTTGCACCTGATGTAAAAGTTGCATTCAAAATATTGATTAAAAAGCAAGCAAATCTATGTTATGTCATAGGTCAAGCAAAAAGCAGATGTAAAAAACATTTTGAAGGAACTCTTTCGCAAAATGTTGTCTATTAACAATCTTTGCTTTACGATACGCTATTGATCTGAGATTGTGATAACGAAAAAATAAGATGAAAAGTGTTGCTACGATTAAATCGAAAAACATAATTCTAAATCAATTTCAATCAAATTCAACATTTTCAGCATCATAATGACCAGGAGCGAAGCCAAAATTTTTTTCGGATGGGTATTGAAATTATTTTGACGACAAAAGGGGCATGTCTATCTCTTAAAGGGTATGAAGTCACAAGATAAATAATTTTATATTCTGCTGTAATGTGTTGTTTTATTTAAGTATTCGAAAACTTCAATTTAAAGTATTTTAGTACCTTTCTTTGAAGGTTCAGCAACTACAGAAGTGTTTATAAGCAAAGTTGGTTGCAAAAAGGTAATATTCAACTACGGCGCGAGAAAAAACTTCCGACAAAAACGCTTTATGAGTCGACGGGCAAAGTATTGGGGGGAGCACAGCACCCCCTGTACCCCCCTCCCCCGTTTGGTGACGCCCCTGATAATGACAGTGACACTGGTATGACAGTTTTGGGACATGGCATGAAATTAAATGTATGATACAAGAGGTGGGACGTTGTATCGAAGGTGGGACGGTGAAAAAGAAAGCGGCCTAGATTGTCTAACCTTGTCTTTATCTCTCTTGTTCGTAAACCTCCTGATCCAACTACAGATGTCTCTGGAGCAAGCTGCTATAACTTTGAATATTTTGTTGCTATGGCAGTTACAGGGCCACTTCGTTTCGCTCTTGCTTCGAAAAGTTCATCTCTACGCTTGTTTCGTAACTCGCATTTTGTCTCTCTTGAACTCCTCTATCCTTAAAACCATGCTTTAGAGGCAATCGTCCCTTGCGATAAAGAATTACAATCGCGACGACAAGCGAAACAAAAACAATTACCAAGACAATTGGCAGAACGATGGCCAGTATATTTGTATCACTTTTCTTTCCACCAGATGTACTTTTGCTAAATATCTTTCTTCCAAGGGGACATTCATCACTGTAACTGCAGAACTGCTCACCCTGGGGCATTGCTCCACCATTTGAATTAAAAGAGCACCATTGACAACCAATTGCAGTACATTGGGTCCTAAAATTTTGAAACAAGGCAACTGAAGAAAATCAAAATTGTTCTACTCAATTCAATCCCAATCAAATTTTATTTGTATCCTACCGTTGTAAAAATTGAAGCATAATGCAAGCAAGGTATGGACATATCCAGCTTGGGTCGTTACCAAAAACGGTAAAATCAAAACATAACTTACATAAATGTGGAGGAGGGGGGTCAGGGGGCAAGATATTCAACTGTCCAGCCAAGAAGTGCCCTTGAAGCATTTAGGTGCTATACGAAATAAGCAAAAGAGAGTGGGGGGGGGGGTTGGGGGTTGACATTTTGGGGCTATGGTCTAGATTTTTTCTTTGCAATCTGCTTTTAGAAACACCAAAACTACAAACTCGCAACCAGGCCCACCGACAAGTTTTTCTACACGTGTTTTTATCCTTATAGAGTTTTTGTTGAATGCCACGAATGCTTTGTATCAGTGGGGGAGGGGGGGGGGGTAGGTGTCTACCAGGTTTGTAACCTCAAATCTAAAAGTGAGTCCATATAGTAAGATTCAAGATTAAATTTAGGTTTTTGCTGTGTTGTTACTCAAGCATAGATTTATAAAGCTTTACAAAGTTCTTTTTTATAAAACATTGCCCATCAACAGTTTCTGGGTTGTTATAATGAATAAGCTCACAACAAAGGGCAGTGAAGAAAAGGTTTAGGCACACCAATTTTGAAAGCCATGATTTTCCGTGTCCCCTTAATGTAAATTCAATGATAAAATGCTCTAGGCTTTGTACTTAAAGTCATTAATAGCACTGCAAGTCTAGTTTCTATGTAGGGTTTGAAATGGGTTCAATGACCAAATAGTTCACTACAAACCTTGTCTTTACTGATTTGCATTTTGGATCATTGCATCTTGAATACGTCATAGCTTCCTTGCGTTCTTTCTCTTCCTCTTCTTTTGTTTTTATTGGTAGCAGCAAGTTAAATGGGGGCGGCGGACAGACAAGCGTTGTTGATCTAAGGCAGAATAAATAGTGTAGTAGACCAGATAAACTGTCATGAAATGAATAATTCAAACCTAGCTGTTTCAGTCAATTGATCCTGCCCTGACTTTCGTGAACCCAAGACATGTGACACCTGATACCCACTGTTTGTAAGAGTAAACTTGATTAGAATAGATTTGACAAGAATAAAGAGGCTCATAACTGCTAAAGTTTAGAAAATAATTAAGTAATAGCCAAGAACAAATCATATCTTCTTTGTCTATCAAAGTTTTTGAGCAAACAAGGCAACCGTAACTTTCACACTGATATACACTAGTGATTGATTTTTAGCTCAAAATCAAATATTTTTATGAATATTGGGGCTAAGCAGAATTAAGATATCTTTTAAAAAGTGGCGCCCCAGCTCAAAGATAGGCTGAATCCAAGCGTCAGAGCAAATCTTTTATAGGATAAATAAAATAAAAATGTAGATATAAGATAAAAAAACGTTGTCTTTATGAGTTAATTATCCGTTTAGGAAGACGGGCGTAGTGGATGCAAAACGTTTAGGGGGTGTAGTATCGAACCTGTGCGAATACTGTTACTGTATTGAGATAGAACTGCCCAAATGGAACTTGGAGCTTGTCATGTGATTAATATTGCAGGATTAGGGGGACTGCAGGCCTCCTTGCACCCATATCTCCTACGTGGGAATATCGATGAGTTTGTTTTACCGCCATATTGTTGATATTTGTTGTTGATTGTTAAGTTTACTTGAAATTCAAAATTTTTATGATTGGATAAGTAAGTTATTAACAATTTACGAAAAATTGAGGATTTTTAAGTGTTCTGCTGCTTGCATTCCTTCTCCTTGTGGGCATCAGGAAAAAGGAGTTTAAGATTGAAAGCTGATTACCATCAGCAAATTTCACTTACACCTGCTGCAGGTATTCGTCACAAGTAAGGAAATGCTTGCAAGGGCAGTGGCATGGGAAATTAGCCAAAGGTATGGAACACTTTCCGTTCTAGAATAGACAAAATTTCATATTTTAAAAAATAATATATTGTTTTTGGGCATTTGAATGAATATAATGATTGGTAATGGCTCTTTCGATCTTGCAAGGCAATCCGCACTACTGAAAAATGCCACCATGAAGGATTTTCTCGCAAAGTGAAGATTGATGTGAAAGCAAAATATAAAATCTTAAAATCAAAAACTGCAAAAAGATACTGCGAAAACAATCTTTAAAGATAGTGTCAAGGTGCGAGATGCACATGCTTTCAACTTTACTGCAAACAAAGGAATTTGTATTTGCCCCCCCCCCCCATTTGACTCATTAGAAAAATCAGAAAAAACATGACAAATTTAAGAATTAAAGATGGCTGAGACCCTTTTTTATACCAAAATGTGAGCAATAACTGCTTAATTTTATGTTTTCAAAAGCCACCTTTGCTGTATTGAAAACAATAAAATCCCATTGATGACACATATTTTTTTCGAAAACTCTGACAAGCTACTTACCTTTGGACAGGTACACGAAGCAGTGTTAAGGCAGCGTTTGCGAACAATTAACAGGTATGAATTAGTTTTAGGTAGCGGCACCAAAGAATACTCTGGACATTGTTGGAGAGCATTTGGCTCCTTGGCTACGGTTCTGTTAGCATCTAACTACAATGTAAAAAAACAAATTGTCAGAAATACGTATAAAATTAAGACAAATACAGCTTTACTGCTATCCATTCCATTACGATGGAGAACAACTAATTACTTCAGCACAAAAATTTATCATTTGAACTTTATCTAAAAAGAAGACAGTGGCACTAAAAAGTGCTTTCAAAGTAGCTTACTCTGATGACATGGGCTAAGTTCATAGGTGGCATTATTTCTCCAGGCAAAAATTATCTAAACAGAATAAACAGGCACCGCGGAGCAGGAGGGGGGGGGGATTTTTTTGCAAAAAATGCCAAACATTAAGTAATGAACTACCAGTAAAACCTCTTTTTATACGGTTTTAGCCCCCCCCCTACCCCAATTTTTTAGACCCCCCCAATTTTCTCAACGTTCCTCGGTGCCTGATAAACCAGGTTCATTAATACACTTCTCAATCTTTTCAGAATTTATTGTGGGACAATTATTGCCTTATACTTCATAAATATATCAACTAGAAAAATTCTTCCTGATATTTGATGGTTATGAAATACAAACAAACACTTTCCTATAGAAATATATACTGATTCCTTGGCTTTCATTATCCAAGAAAATATAAAATGATTAAGCAATAACAAATAAACCAAAAAATTTGAATATAAGCATAAACACGCTCTAAATATGCAGAATATTAAGAAAACACTGGAACCCCTGTTGATCGTGAATTTCCATAGTAACAGAGATCTTAGCATACTGCTGTGACATTTATACATATGCTGTAAAGACTCCAGTTTTATGCTTACTTATATTGAATTCATACATGTCTTATTAAAAAACTGCCACATTTAAAATTGTGCAAGTTCCGAATTCTTCTATATTAAATACTTTCTATATGTGTGCGAGAGAATGAAATGGGATCCAGTTCTTTCCTGTTGCAAAAATTTTTCCAAATTTGGCAGTTTTCCGCAAAACATTTTGAGTGATTATATTCTATCTATAAGCTTCACTGAGAAGCAACCCCCAGCCCTATTCAACTGCCCCAATAGGAAGAAAATCTTGAATTTACCATGTAAAAATATTGAATGTGTGGCTCAGCTATGTCTGATGTTTTGTTGGTTTTGTAAATACCAATGCAGGATTCCATATGAAGGTGCTTGTCTTTTATCAGATCTGAAGCAACACCAGGAGCCTTGAACCCAAATGAAAGCTTTGTTAGCAAATTTCATTTGATTTCAATTTGACAAGGAATATCATTCAAAAATATTTGGAACAAAAAAAATACTTTCAAATTGAAATATGCAATTGTATTTGAAATCAGAAAGTAGACCTACGCATTGTATAGGCTAGATATAAAAACTGAATTAGAAATCGATGTCAAGCTACAATAAAGTAACTTGAAAATTAAAGTAAAAGACTTAAAGTTCAGATAAAATGCTAATATGATTAAGATAAATTAAGATCTTTCAAAGCATAGTCGGCATGACCTCAAACTTTACAGAAATTGGTAGCTGTCGGAGAAATGAAAACATTTTACCCTAAAGGTCGGGAATAAACAGGGTCCCCATCATTTGAAACCCCCATTGTATTGCATTGTATTGTATTTTATTGTAGATTATTTAATGTTAGTTTTTACAATAGTGAATATACACTAATTAATACTAACATGAAGCAATTTCAAGGATTGCATAAGAAAGTTCATTTACTGCAAAACGAGCATGCGCACTTGTATTCAAGGAACCAAATTTTGATCAAATTCTTAAATTGCTGGAGTGAATTCCAGATTTTAGGCCCTTGAAAACTTAATGATCTGATAACATCATTGGTAGTTCTGGAATGTCAAGGGGGTTTTTGAGTCGAAGGTTATGACCTGTTGTTTTGGGTACAAAATAGTCTTTCATGAAAACAGGATTAAGATTGTTAAGTGTTTTATAATCTTCGAGCGCTAAAATTCTAACTGATTGGACATGTATGGTAGTTTCTTTTGAGTTAGCAAGTAAATATTTTATAGACTTCTTCTAGAACAGTCTTCTACTTGATTTCCGTAATGCCTTGCAATCTTTTCTATACATCTTAACTTCATAAGTGGTCAACTCCTACCCCCATATTTCAGGATCACCGGCCTCGGGGTTTTAGGGATTATGTAACCACCACAAATGCAATCAGATATTAGGCGCCATTTTTTTGGCTGCATGCCAAGCGACTGGAAGACCAACCGTAGTTTGCATCCCCATAAAAAGATCCCCTCTTGACTTACCAGTGCTGTTATGTGTTGGCCTTCGATCTTGGACTTTGTGTAAGAAGTTTCAAAATCAGGATGAAACACTACCAGTCCACTCTTATCAACTAATAGGCAAACATGGCTAAAAGAAATAAAAGCTATAACAGGAAAAATTGATAATAGAAAATGCACTTAGAATGTGAACAGGAATACAGGCAAGCAAACACCAAATTTCCATTAAAAAATATTTAACGATGTCAGGCCGTTACTGTATACAAAAGGTAAATCCTCTACAAATTTATGTTCACCCAGGCCCGTCCCTAGCTACTGTGCTCAAGGGGGGTTTCCAAGTTCAATTGGTCGAATTATATGGGGGCCATCCTTTACTTGCAGACAAAGAACCCTTAAATGGCAAGACACTCCATGTTTTTGCAATGGAACATTTTCAAGGGGGTTTCAAGTCAGCTTCAAGAATTGTTCCCATCACAGTGGCAATAAGAATGATGTCGATGTCTCGGGGGCAGAGCCAGCCACTAGGCTCTTGGGGGAAGGAAAACATTTTTAGGCGATTTCCCTTTTACTGCTAGAAAACGCCCCTTTGCCAACAAGGAACGCAAATTTTACCAATTGTGAACACCAACGACTAACTTTTGGCTACGTAAAGACAGTTTCAAGATAAAATTATATAACAAAAATACATTACCAAGATACTACCCTTTCCCAGGGGCGTCGTGGTCGGGGGCAGAGGGCCATGGCCCCTTCTGCTTTCAAAATTTGACAGATTTTCAGTAAAATCATTGCTTGGTCTGAAAATTCTCAAACTTGAGTTGTGGGTGATTCTCAAACTTTTGGCAACACTTACTGTAATTACCGTAATTTCGAGGGACAATTCACTTTTGTAAAGAAAATACTAGATTTCCACAAGTCAAAATGATTTCTAATGATTTACCGACTCCTACCATAGAGTGATTCGCTACTTGGATTTTATCAGTTAAAATCTGCATCTTCAATGGCAAAATTTGGTTATAGAATATTGGACATAAATTACATCTATATTTGATATTGAAGAACGGGACATGGTCAATTCTTTGACAATCACCAGATTTTTGAACATTTTGTCCAGATTTGAAAATTTATGCAGTTATGTTGCGTAAGGCAAAACAAGAAAGAAGTCGATCAAAACGATCGCTTTTCCTCCAGTGGGTATTCAATTATGAATGAGATTTTTTTATTAAAATTTGCTTTAAAAATGCAATTTCCGGCGAATTTGAAGCATTAGATTGTAAAACATTTGTCCTAATATACGGATGTCAGAAACGTTCGTTGTAAGTATGAAGAAGCAGAGACAAAGATGAAAGTGCAGCTAAGGCAAAAGTTACGAGTTTTTCTGTCCCACCCCCTTACACTTACATGAAATACTTCCTTTCTGGCCCCCTCTAGAATAGAATTCTGGCCTCGACGACCCTGCCTTTTCCTTACATTGTCTTGCTAAGCTTAGGCAAGATACCCGACAAATTCTGTCGAGAACTGGGAGGAAGGGGACCAACCACCTTCTAAAAGCAAGTATGATTTAAATACGTACGAAGATGCTCTGTTTCGACACTCGTTAACATTGTTCAAAACCAAATTCTTTAGATTGTTCATTGAATAATCAAGAGCCATGATAGCTAGGGTCTCCCGTGAATTACCAGTGTCCCTGTAAGCAAAATGCAGTTAAGGTTTATGATATGAAATACGAAAAAAAGGTCTAATGTAAGCTGCAGGTAAAAAAGGAAGAAAATTTTGCAAACATAGGCCAACATCAATTCAGGATATTCGAATTTTGTTAGGGTGATATTCACAAACTGATAGACAAAAACGGTGCAAGACTATAGCAGGCACAGACTTTTTCTTAAAATTTGAGGGGCAGGAAAGATGGTGCTGTTCCAAAGGTTTCTGAAGGAACATTTCTAAAAAAGGGACATCCAGGAGCACATGCCCGATGCACTATGGCAAAATTAACTTGGTACATATCACATAGGAACCCCCTAACTTGAAAGTGCTGAAAATATAATTGAGTTGGATGATTGAAATAAGAATGGAAGAATTGAGAAGCTAGTGATAAGCAGAATGAGAAGGCATAGAACATCTTTGACGAGAAACTGTAAATTATTGTCATAGAAAAATTAAAACACCATACCTCTGTATTAAGTGACTGAACGTAACAATCATTGACTGAACTGAATCATCAAAATACGGCGTAGAAATGACGGTAGTGTCTGGGTAGATCAAGGACCTCTGGTACCTGAAAAATATGATGCAAAAATTGGTCCAGAATGGGACTTCATCTTTATATGTAGGAGAGGACAATACCTTGGTATCAAGACATTTGAAATTTTCATTTTTGTTCAACCTCAAGCTCTGTTGAAAAAGAAAACCCGGTGCATGCACCCAGCAGAGTGATTATGATCCAGATCTCGGAAAAAGCATGAATACTGAATTAAGAATGGATCTTGCCAAAAATAATTGGAACGCTTTCCTTTGATGGCATGTAAACGTACAAAGCAAGTCTAAAACTATCATACCAATATATCACTGTTGCTTCCAAAGATTTTTCCCCTCCCACCCAGTTCAAACAGCTTTCAGTGGAAACATTTTAACGCCTCGGCATCAGAACAGCGAAATTGAACAACACTGTAATGGGGGCAATGGGGAATGGGGATTTCAAAAGAAGCTTCGGCTTTGCAGAAGTGTTCAGATAATCTTAGCAAAGATTGTAGCAAGCGGTTAGCTTTGCACTGGGAAAACATGCAGATATGGAACAGAACTTGTAAGATTATCCGGTATATATAACAACGAAAGAACACCCGAACTCGAACTTCAATACTCCATTTTGTATTCTCACGCATAACATAACATAACAAACCGGGCGCATGCCCAACATAACATAAATACGAGGCTAATAACGTCACAGAACTTATTGTGTTCATAGGAAGATGAGTTCATTGATGCATGTATCGAGCATAAGACAAGATAAAATTTTCAAAATTACCATGGTCTACTCCGAGGATCATACAGAGGATGCAACTCGGTTCCCGGATATGATTTAAAGACACCATTTTCCGTTGCAATATACCTGAAAAAAATTTCTTATACAAATTTTTCCGCAGTGAATAAAGAGGGAATCATATTGATAATTCAACAAATATAAGAACGCTCAATCGTGTCATATTATGCTATAAAATTATTTGGTAAGTGAAAGATAAGCTTTAAAAGCTTAACCTGCTGTTGTTTAGAATCCATGGAAAGTAACAAGCATAAAAAGTTGATGATTTATGAAAGGAAAGAGGGAAAATAAATGTCCTTTAACACAAGCGAATAGGAATACTGATTCCTCTAACCGACACTAGGATTCTAAAGCAAGAAAAAGGCCTTGCTAGCTCATTACCTCCATACAATGTATTGAGAATGGGATTTCTTCCAGAATTCATCAAGATCACTTGTTATTTGAACGCTTTTTCGCAATCCACGAGCCACACTGTGAGACTAAATTTATTGATATGATACATGAGTAAAATATGGAATGAAAAGCTGAACAATACACACAAATTCGCAAATGTGCCATTTGAAGGAAAATTATGGACAGGTATCGAACATCGACTCCAATAAAATGAAGCAATAATGCACATCGTAGATACCTATACAACACGCACTTGACTTTGGCGCTTTTAACATTCGAAATTCTCCAATTACGAAAAGCACCTCTAAAAAACACGTCATATGTATTGTTCTTTACGATGGCCTAGAAATGCCAAGGAAAAACTCTTTTTCCTAAGGCAAGACTTCCTCGCTTGCGACAAAGCTTTTTCCTCACGGCAAAACTCACTCTCTTACGACAAAAATTTTTCTGCACAAATGAATTTCACAAAGCGAGGGGGAGTTTTAGGTATAGCTTAAAGATGACTTTATACGAAAATAAGCATTTACAAACAAAGAAATAATGTTTCCTTAAAGAAATCACGAACTCCTTGTTAGCATTACCATTCTGAAAATGTTCATTGAAAAAGTTTTATTGTGCGAAAGAAAACATTACCCTCAAGAAAGAGAGATTTGACTTAAGAAAGAGAGATTAACGGTCTAAAAAAAATTGTGCCGCAAGAAAGAGTCACTTGCGGGCCACCGTAGTTCTTTCATACAAGCAACGAGAGTTAAGCAAACCTGCAGCAGATTTGGCGGGGTTTTATCATTTGAAGAGAAGTACTTCATGATATCTTGCACGATTTTAGCTGTTTCTTCCACGTAATATTTGGCTGGACTTCCAAAAGCATCAGCCGGCAGTTTCACCACTGATTCTAGAAAAATGAGGAAAACTGTGGATTAACAGACTTTGCATTGTCAATATGTAAATACCAAATATCTAATTAACACAGTAGGCCACAGCTGACAGGAGAAGATCAAAAAAAGAAAATTATTTCTACAAGGGTGCTGCCCAGTTGTAAATACTGCACTAGCAACGACCATTCCACTGAGCCAAACGTCCCAATGAAACGATCGGTGACTTTTGAAGTCACTCCTGGATATTTTCACTGTAGCCAAGGCAGTTGTTATTTCTGTTGCAGCTTTGTAAGCCTTCTTCCTATCATGTTATGCTGCTTCAATATGTACACTGACTATGCGTTGCAAAATTATATAAATTGCCTATCACTGTTTTGCTTCTTACAGAGCCAATTACATCTATTGAATAAAACGCATAAGGTCTATTTTGAGGATGAAATTAGGATACATATCTATCAAAAAGGTATATCAATCTATTGGTTTATGCAATGACTAAGTTATATCCCAATCCATAGAGATTCTATGTTCCGTAGACAATTTTATCTTATTTCTATGTTCCAATCTGGAATAGAAAATTTCAGCTCAATCTTTGTCAATCTTTGTCTTTTGCTCCCAAAGTGGTCCTTTTACGTAATTTTTATATAGAAATAAAACAAAAAAAGTTACCTTCTAAAGTTAAATATTTAGTAAAACGGCAAAATTTATAAGTATCTGGCCTTCCTATTCGATCCAGTCTGTGGTACACCATCGGGCGGGTAAGATTAGTAACGCTTCTGAGCTCATATTGATTGGCATTTGACGTCTCTATGACAACAGCCAATGAAAAGTTAGTTAGAGGTACCTGTAAGTGATAATAGCAAAGGAAACATCATAATGTTGAAGGCAATGGTAAATGACGTCTTGGAAAAACGAGGGATTATGTGGAATGTGTTTATAAAGATAAACCAAATACTCACTTGAATCGAAAAATGTTTTAAATCTCAAACGTCAAATTTCAGAACAAAATAGAAATTAGAACAGATTGGATAAATTTAAGTCAATAAACATTCATTTCAGAAAGTCAACAACATTCATCTCAGATTTGAGATTTTCTGCATTTAGTCGATTAGATGTAAATCTTTATACACACTTTGGTATACAGAACAGAGCGGCTTTAAGTTGCCTACCACGCTGCGATCATTATGATATTTTCCTGATTTTACTTTGCGAAGCTGTACTGAAGCGTGCACAGCCCTGCCTGTATATGACAGAAGAGTAAAGTAAAGCAGCAAGTCTAATTACATCTATACAGATGTATAAATGTATATAGTTGAAAAATATTATCTTACCGTCACCCAATAGTATGTGTAATTTGTAGTAACAGCTGTTGCTCCTTCTAAGGAACTATCTCCGCGTGAAACAGATCTATTTGCAAGCATTGCCCTGCTATCTGATCCACCACTAAAAACGATAAAAGCAGAATAATTTGGCTTTTGACGCGGTAGTTACCAGCAATGACGCTATCGAAAAATTTGAAAGTTTTTCTACAGATTTAGAACTGTTATATAGAAATAAATTCTAGTTATATACTGGGAAACTCTCTCCTTATCTAAGGCCACTTTTTGCAACTACATTAAAAATGTCTTCAATTTAGATGGCCGATGAACTGCTAAAAGCCTTAACGTAAGGGTTGTTATAAGCTGGAAGATTGCACCTCTCAAACAGGGTTCTGTCAATTCAAAACAACTTCGATGCTGATTCAGTCTGAGATGCTAAATAACACACCCATCTAACCTCTTTCTGGTTCGGACATCTAACAGATAACGGTTGCTACGGCACCAAGAAAGTAAATCTCACCTTATCATTGAGGTACGAACACTTGCAAACTCACTTTGCCTTTCAAATAGAGAAATATCTACAGGAACTGTTGGTTCAAACGCTAGAACTGGCTTCGGCAACAGCGGATGCTGGTAGACAAGGCCTAAAGAAAGTTACTACATTATCACAATTATAGGCCATTGCTGGGTTTGGGGAAATACAAATGAGCTAAAATGCAAGATATTATTTCCAGCAGCTATAGCAATACATTCTTTACATTAGTTTAAGTGTGGGTGCCGAATACATGATATCTACAAAGCAAGATGGGATGAATAATCCACAGAAGAATGCTGGGAATTTGCCATCCATAAAAAACTCAAGTAAGAACGTATTTTGAAGGTCTCATAAAGCTGTATTAATATATATTATATCAATAAATCTTTTCAAGATAGGTTTTTTAAGTTGGGTCAGGCTAACAAAAATGGCTCTTCCTAACAATCAAATAGTTTTTTATATCAAAAACAATAAAGATGTGGTAGTCGAACAGTGGATCACACCGAATTCTAAATTATCCCAGCGCCATTTTCAACAGCAAATTCTGCACTGAGTTAGCCAAGTTTTTCTAAAAACCCAAGTCTTTAAGCCTTAAGGGCACTTAAACATACCTTCATAATAGGAGCTTGAAAACCAAGTAAAAGTTGTCAAGAATTACTTTAAAGATAGATTTCCTAGTCACCTGATCGTCCAATTAGGAATCTGTACGCATTATGGCCCTCTTTGAAGTATTCAACATCGCTCAGAAGCTCGGAGACAACAAGATCTATGCTTGCGACACCCTGTAACTCCGTTCCTTTGTAGGTAGGTACTGAAACGGCTATCAAGACACCTAAAGAAAATGACATAAATCTAAAAAAAGCACATTGCTTTAGCACAGAAAATGTACAAATAACTATACGAAAGGTAATGAGAGTCTCAAAATCAGGTTGCATACCAGCTTTTACCAAAACTGAATCACATTTCACTGACAAAGTTAAACCTTGCTTACAAAGAACGCAAACAATCGTAAACAATCGTGTATTAATCTACATCTATGATTATAGAAAGACAGCCTTAACAGTCCATGCCATGAAGGGTTCAATTCCTTGGACTCTGCATGGCAAAGGAGTATCTATGAGTGAAGAAACATGCATCTTATATACCATATCCAAAACATTTTGCCATGTTGATCAATGAAGTTGGGACTGAGATTCCTCTTATATTACGAATACTGTGAACAGGAGGGGTTCCAAAAAAGAGCCTTGCAGCAATCCATCCAAATGCTGCTAGCCCATTGACTATTACTCATAAATCACTGTCTCTTTGTTAGCCATAGTCATGAACTTACTTAAGGGCAGATCTACTGAAACTATGCGCATCAACTTTTTTACGCGTAGTGAGTGTTTCCGACAATCGAATGCCTTCGCAAGGTCTACAAGAATGCATCTACCAACGCTTTGAAATCAGTCCAAACTCTCAGGAAGGCTGCCAAAAGAATATGCTCTAGCTGGAACTCATTTCTAATATTCCTCTAAAGGGACTTTCCAGAAACAAAGGGGCTAAAAGACTGTTCAATGGGATCCATAGTTTTGATTTCCAGTGCCTAGCATGTGATCGGCACCCTGTTTCAATGAGTGGCATTTAGTACGATTATTAATGGAGATATACTATTTCGAGTGTTTTTAAATCGTTGTAGAAGAAAAAAATAATCTTACCAGTTCCAAAGAAATCCATGTACGGAAACGAGTACCGGACCTTGACTTTATCTTTATCTTCGGTCAGAAAATCGTACAAGGTTCCAATGTTATTACGCATTTCCGCTTGGTTTGTCACGTGGACAAATTTTCCTTTCTGCGTAATTTGATAGGGACGTATATGTCAAATCAAATCTTGATAGAGGATGTTTAAAATAGATAGATTTGCAATATACATCAAAGAACTTGCAAAATAAGATTGCAGAGCAAGGGAGATCTAACAAGCTTCATGCTCCGCTCGAACTGTTTTGTTTTGGAGAGACAGGAACGGAGAGTAAGAGATCCATTCCTGGGAAAGTTTTCACTGTAATCCGATGAAATCGCTCATAATCGGAGGCTGAAAAAAAGCCCACCAAAGTTTATACTTTCAAGAATGATGTGGCTTTTGAAACGCAGTAAATCAATGGGAACGCTCAAAATTGAAGATTCTGAAAACAATGCAACAGATTCTCGATAATCAGTGTGAACTGTCAAAAACAACGAGTACGGATATTTTCTTTGAGTAGTGTGAAGAGACAAACAAAGCGGAGTAATGTGGCTGCTAGATACCAAGAAAAAGGTTTTAAAAGAAACACTGTATTGTGGACATATTCTTAGAGTGCCGGGTAGGTATTTAAGAAACAAAGAAGAGAATAAAATTGAAATGTCGTGGCTTTTAAAGAGTTTCTATCATGGTAAGAAATAAGGAATACACTTACTGTAGGTGTTGGCTGTATGTTGGTACATTCAGTCGTTAGATATACCGAACATCTTTGATCAACAATGTCTTGATGAAATTTTCTTTTCTTGTCATTCAAGCCAGCTAAATTTTTAAATTGATTCTTGGTTAATGACTTGAGTTATGTAAGAAAAGATGGTAATGTAAAATTTTCAAGAAGACATCAGTTTACGATGATGAACATTTTTGATAAACAAGGAAATGAAAGTCAAGATTGGAATTTATTACAATTGACTTAAAAAATGCATGTTACAGATTCAAGAATTTGACAATTGAACAATCACAATAACAAATAAAGAGTAAAATTAGACAAAAAATACACTGAAAGTAGAAAGGTAGCTAAAAAAGTTGTTTCCGAAATTTGGGGTCCAAAAATGGACCCCTTCGACTTCAAAATGATAATTAAAGTATAATAGAATTTTAAGAAAGGAAACTGTAAAGAAGAAACGGTGCTATGGAAAATAGACCATCTCGGAGTTTTCGGAGCCATGACTTAAGTGGGGAAAAAGCTGAAATAAATACCATTGCGACCTATAACATCGATGTTTGTAAGTTCCATTGTAGGGCAAACAAGGTCCACTGTTAATTAACGAAATTCACATTCTTATATCAAAGTATCTTCCTCTATTTTAAAGAACTTGCGACTAAAATAAAGAAAGAACAGCCTCCCTAATGAATTTCTCCAAACCTTTGAACTATTGAACTAGCAATTCAAAAATAGGATTTTCAGCATGGCGCTGCGAACCCCGAAATGGCCTATACATGAATTGAAATAGGCATTTTAAGGGCGAAAAAAATCCAGAAAACTTACGATGAATAGCGAAAACACTTAGGACAATCTTGAATGAAAATTTTTTGTTTCCTTGTATGATAGTTCGCATTACATCGGCCTCTTGATCGCTATAAATCCCTGATGTGACCAAAAATATTACTTTCTCTGCAAAATGTAAAGAAATGATATTTAAGAAATAAGCTCAGTCGAATTTAAAATTTGGCAAAGAATAAAGGTGATGACAAAAGTTTAAGAACCATCTAATGCTCGCATGACAGATTTTATTATATTGGCAAGTTGTGAAATAGTGTTGTGTTTGTCCTTGTCATTTCATACTATTCCATTTGAGATGATAGATGGTGAGTAATGGTGAGTAAAGGTGGCAAATGTAAAGAAGCTTGGCGGAAAGGTGGAGGGATTAAAAGGTGAATTAAAAAGGTCGCGAAAAGGTGGATTAGAAAATTTTGAGAAAAGATGGGTAAAAAGACACTGGGGAGAAAGCTGGGGGAAAGGTGGCTGAAAGACGATGAATAAGCGAGTGAAAAGGAAAGGTAATGAAGTGGATAAGGAAATAAAAGCAGATAAGGTAATGAAGTGCACTTAGGTGGGTGAAAATGGAAAAAGGTATGTTAAATGTGGATAAAGGAGGGCAAAAGTGGACAATATGGGATTAAGGTGACAAATATTTGATAAAGTTGGGCAAGGGTAGAGAAATGCAAGTTAAGGTGTATAAAAATATCTCAAATTGAACAAGCTGGATTTGGGTACAGTAGAATCTCGTTATAACGTCCTCAATTATTATGTACTTTCCGATATAACGTACTGGTGTACTTGGTCCCGGCAAAAGGTGTGCTTGGTTTTAGTCAATTTTTACTTACCCTCGTTATAATGTACTTCGGATATAACGTACTTAATACGCGATCCCTTAAAGTACGTTATAACAGGATTATACTGTAGATGTAAGGGGGAATGGATAAGATGGTTAACATGGACAAAGATGGTAAACAGAACAGTATCAGCCAGGGATTGGTGTAACATACTACCTTCGTTTTCACTGCTGTTTGAGAATTGTTTAAATGCCTCTTGAAATGCAGTTGCATAAGTGGCTATATTGTGATCTGCATGAAAATAAGGCAATATATGCGAAAGGTAGTTATGCAAAACTGTAATATTTCATAGAAAGAAGCAGGAATAATTATTGTAACATTATTGTAACTTTTTATCATTATACCGTGTGAGAAGTGATCGAAGAAATGATATTTCGTCGATAGACATATTATTCTTAAAATAAAAATCAATGATAATTTCTGGAAACCAAAAAAGAAGAAAATATTATCTTATCAAACACTTGATTGAGTGAGAAATAATCACGATGTCTTTCTGGTGCCCCTGGGATTTTTTCGGCATAACAGCAGCATGAGTAACGTTTGTGCTTATTGTAGCAATCCTCGTGTAAAAACTTAATTTAGTCTTTTTAAGTAAGTAGAAACAAGCGTGCAAGTGTTTACAAGATCATTTGAGGATCATTTGAAGTCTGATTGTTGAAGAGTTATGTATTTGTAGATGTATTTTTTCAGTTAAATACGAACACAACTAGTAGAGTGATGCCACCATATCCAATCCAGAATGCAGCGATTCGAGAACCCGAATTTTATTTAAGTGTCAGTTTGAGTCTTGATAAGACTCAAAGAAATTAGGCAAGATCCTAGGCAAGAGCCACAACCATGAAAAGAATTTAAGTGAAGTTGGGAAACAGAACGATTATGCTTCAAGCGACCGATTTAAGGACAGATCTTCCAAAAGAAAGTAAATTAGTTTAACGTGTAATGAAAATAAAATGTCGTACATCTGTAACCGCAAGGGCCCTAACTGTAAGGGCCCTTCGAATCGCATACAAAGACAACACTTCTCCTTACGAGAAATTGTTAGAAAATGATATTTCGGTATCTATACATCAGAAGAACCCAGAGTTGCTCATGGTTGAAATTTACAAAACAAGGAATCACTTGAATCCCTCGTTAATGATGGAAATTTTTGAGGTAAGGCAATGCCGTATCAACTAAGAAGCTCGAGAAAATTAAACCTACCAAAATGCTACAGATACCGTAAGGTTCACGGGTCAAAGAATATGGGCAAAATTACCTATAGAAGTGAAAACTTCAGTCTCTTTGACTGTTTTTAAAAAACATCTTAAAACATCAAAATGCAAACATTGCGACTGTAGGATTTGCAAAACTTTATATATGTTTTAGGTTTTTTTGTAATTATGATGTATTTCTTTTGTATAATCCTTTTGTAAATAGTTGGCCTTAACTAGCTTTCATTTTTAGCTATTTCGAACAGCCAACTTTAAATCAATGTTTAAATACTAATAATAACAATAACCGCATAGAATAGTGTTGGAAAACTTCACCTGTATTTAGCGTCGATGAATCATCGATCGCTTTCATCGCAAATGTTGTGATTGCCAGCCGATTTGCTGGTGATGCACTAACAAGTTGAGAATTGAAGCAGTGATCAGGGTGCAAAAAGAGCCTCTCCGCAAAAGGCATCACAGCAACCTGAAAACAAGAATCCCTCACCAGCATTTTTTATAACCTGTTATACAAGACAAATATGAAATTCAGCAAAAACATCAGATGCACAAACCAATGCACACAGTCAGATCGAGCCCCCCCCCCCATTCTCTCATAATTTTCGCCAATAGTTTAAAGAAAAGATAGCGAATTAAAGGGGGCTACATTATGAAGTAATGACAGCGTTCTTTCAAATAAAGTCAGAAAAACTCTTGAACAGAGGAAGAGGAGCGGGGGTTGCAAGGGAGAAAATTTTCTGAACAGTTGGCCTGACATGGGCGTGGCATTGGCGTAAAATGAACGTCGATTGGCTGTATAAATGGATGGATACATGTAGCTGTTATTTTCAAAAGTATGTCCATAGAATTGAAAGAATTCTTTATACATTTCTCAATAGATTCTCCAAACCTACTGTATAAACTTATTTGGAATTTAAACTATAAGTTCTCTGTAACATTATTGACAATTTGTAGTTCTAGGGTGGGGGCTTATTCGAAGGGGGAGCTTTTTCGAGGAGGGGGGGCGATTGGAGAATTTACGGTATCTGTCAATTGCTGACAGTCAGAATTGTCGACTGAGCCCTGATTTCTTTGAATTTGACAAGTGGTTTAGTCCTGGGGAGGAGGGAGGGATTTGCCGTGCTGTTTTTCTATAGTGATGGCTTTTGGCTTACCTTATCTCGTGGATCAAGTGTTTTGAGGAATGTTTCAACAAGCTCTTTGAACAGAGCTTTGTCAATGTTTTTGCTGACATCTATCAGGAGAACCACATCTTTTGTTTTCTGCGTCGCTGCTGAAACATACCAGGGTCTGAAATTTGAAAAAAGTGGATAGGCCTCCTTTATAAAAATTGGGGTAATGTCTGAAGTACTCTCCTTCATAGGGGAGGGGAAAAAGGACAGGGTACAGGAAATTACGGAAGAAAACAAAAGGTAGAGAAGCTGCGAAGGAGAAGGAGGAAGAGAATAGCGGCTATTTTTCCTTTCTCATCTCCTCAGCCTTCCCCCTGCTTTTCTCCGCAGCTCCATATTTTCTCAATCCCCATCTCCTTCACATATAGCCTCTGTGGAGGACAGTGTGACTAACATCTTACCCAATAACGAGAAGATAGGTAAATAAAAATATCTCAGCAACGTATTCTTTATGACGTAATTTTATCATTTTGAAACTGCCTTTACGTTAGTCATGGGCGTTCCCTATTGGTAAAATTGGCCTTCCCTGTTGGCAGAAGGGCGTTTACTAATAGTAAAAAGGACGTGGTCTAAATCTTTGTTTTATCTCCCTCCCCTAACGGCCTTGTAATTGGCGCTGTCACTGGTTGTAAAAAGTGATCGATTTAACATTATCATCAGCTCAAATCTATTTCCAGCCTCCAAGCAATGTACACGTTACATGAAGACATTTTCAATAAAACATGCTACAATGTATTACATGCACGTTATATTAGAAGCCAGTAATACCTTGTTCTTGGATCGAAGTTATAGCATGATTCTTGGCTGCCACCATCCATACCTGGAAACTGTAGGTAATAACCATCTTTTTGCCCATAGTATATGTACAATCCTTTGTTTTCGAGGCGTTTGTAGGCCTGAACTGTGAAGTCTTTGGCATTTCTATAATTTAGCCGTCTGAACGCCCTACTTTTCACATCTTTGTTAAAACTGGTAAGCTCACAATCGCCAGTCATATCAACCTTGAAAGAAATAGATTGCAAATGATATCAGGATTTTTGCAGGAGAATGAGTTTCAACAAAATTCGCCAGTCGAAGAGGACGTCATACAACAGGCACCAGCGCCGAGTTGAGTGAAGCATTATGACGTTGAAGCCAAGTCTTGCAGCAAGTTTTGTATATCAAGCGATTCGGATAGAAAACTATAGATGTCCAAAAATTAAAGACAGGGTAATTGTAAGCTGTAATTTCTTTCTATTTTGTAAATTTCGCATAATTGTAAGTTCTGTAAGCTGTAAGTTTCACATATTTTTATTAATCGATTTGATTAGCATCTTTTTACTTATTTAGATGTTATTCAATGTTTTATCGAGTATGCAATGCATCATTAAAAACGATACAAAAATCAAGAAAAGGGCAATTCATCTCATAAAATGATGCTCATTTCAATTGCCTGACACCAGATTTTGATATTCGGAAATTGATGGAATGAAGGTGCAAATATATAATCTATACATAAACTTTATACTAGTTTGTAGTCAGAATTCCTCATTTGCAAATTCATTCTCGAGGGGGAGGCATGAGCATCTATTCTAAAAAAGAACCTGGTAAAGAGAACATAGTATCATTTGTTTTCAATAAATTGGATAAGGTTAATTCCATTACATACTTTACAATTTCGGCAAAATTATCAACTTGCACTTTTTTATTCTCTACATTTATTAACATATATATGATGATGCAAAGTTGTCTTCAAACAAGGTAGGAAAAGAACGAACTCATACAAAAATCATACCTGTCTTTCAAATTGGTAGTTAAATTTCAACCCACGTGCATATTTACAACAAAGCACCAAGTCTCGATCATCTCCAATTGGAGCAGTAGTTCTCACATAATCCTCCTCAATCACCTTCTTCCAATCCAGTAAAATTTCTCGAACTTTCGTTAGTTTAGCAGTCAAGGAATCTTTCAACTAAAACGAAGAGATATTTAACATACACGGTTGAACTGAAAAAGTGACCCCAAAAACTATTAAAGATTAAAGAAAGGATTGACCTACTGACCCAGTTAAAAGGATATCATAGAATCCAAGACTGAAAAACATGTAAGAAAGCACAACAATGAAAAATTCTAAGATGAACTTAAGATGAATAAGGCGTTTAGAATGCAGCAAAAATCAGATACAATTACGTTTAGCCCTTTGTTCATTCACATGTCTAAAAAAATGAAGCAAATTTTATTAGTTTGTTTTTTAACTCCGTAACATGTGAGTACTATTCTTAAGGTGTCATTAAACAAGTGAAGAGCATTTTTCGACTCCAATTTAACCAAGGGGGCAGGGGGAGTTAAGATTCTTTGAGTGGGATGGAGAAGGGATTAAATGTTGCAGAAAGAGAGTAAAAAATCCGGAAGATACTAACAAATACATTCCGTCTCCTGTTTGCTTCAACAGAGATGTAAAAAACAGTGCTCTAATAAAATATTAACAATTCAAATGTATGCAGAAAATATAGAAGTATCATCTTACAGCATTTAGTAAAATCCTTCCTTGAAGTTCAGTAACATCATAATCATGTTTGCTGTATATGTCCTGTGAAGATAATTAGTTTCTATATCAAGAATCAGAAATCGTTATTTTTTCATGCAGATAATGCATCAGAGCATTAATATGCAAATAAATAAAAAACGAAGCCCTAGGCTATCTACGAGGTACTCAAGAGTTTTGCATTAGGCAGGGGTACATGCTACAAGTCTCTCTCTCTCAATTACTAGATACTAGAGAAAGAGAAAAACTTGCATAGGGGCTCCGACAAAGGGGGCCTGGGGGGCCAGGGCCCCCAACATTTTTGCAAAGCAATAGGACTTTTCTCAAAATCTTTTGTTATGGGTGTTAAATTTTCCCTTGACCCCCTCACTTTCCAACCAGTGTCGGAGCCCATGTTTTAGCAAGTCCAGCCTATCCTGCAAATTTGAACGCCTCTAATTTTGATAGAAGGAATTGCATATATTCACTTGCATAGCTTTTTAGCATGCTTACTTACAAACAATCCTGTAAACAACACAGGCAGTGGGTATTTCAACAGGGAACAAACGTTTTTCTTGGGCTGGCAGGGGGTGGGGAAAATTTGCAGGATCAGTAAACAAGACTATTTAGCCTATGACTTCTACACCTCACGCCTCCACATACCTTCATGAACTGGACGCCAAGGTTTTTGATCATCAAATCTTCGATTTTTGCTGTCAGCTGAGAAACATCAACATTCAATGCATTGCCAGTCTGTAAACATAAAATGCATGATAGAAGTAAGCACAATAATTTCTTCGTCACGTTCAACATTTTCTTCACGATCAACGTTGTAACGGCCTTGAGGAATACTCCTCTATCCTTAAATATTCTGACGCAATTGAAAAGTCGAACAAAACACTGCAAGTTAAATTTGCATGCACCGATGATGCCAGACAAAACAGAATAGCAATTGAGAACAACAAGCACAATAATCAAGGTCTTTGATTAAGTCTGCAATTGTATTGCTGATTATGCTTTTGTGTGCATATCTTTTGTCTTTTGTTAACAAAACATATTAATACCACGTAAACTTTTCTCAATTCCTTGCAAACATAAACATTGTTGATTTTGGGGGCTACATAAATCAGATATGGTTTTAGGGGGCCTATGGGGGCCACGGCCAAAACCATTCGCTTATTGTGTTCAGAAGGAGCCTGCAACTAAAAAAATTTAAAATTGAATAAAACAAGCTTCATAATTTTTGAGTAAAATGCAACGATAGAATTAGAAATTAACAGCAATTTATTGCTTTGAATTTTTAATCAGAAAATGTCACCTAGAATTGAACGTCTTAGTAGTTTTTGATGAAAAAACTCAAGACAGACTTTCCACTCTTTGAAGGACTAGTAGGGTGGTTCTTCTGAAAGTTTTTAGCAAAATTTCATGTGAAAATTTTTCATTGAAGGTACACAACATATTTTAACAAAATTTCATGTGAAAACTTTTCATTGAAGGTACACAACCCGTAACGGAAGCTTCTTTCTAGTCATCCTCAGAGTATTATAACTGCTCAAAATATCTAAGAAGTCTAGATGACAACAATTTTAGAAAAGATACAGAGCGTTCGTTAATTATTAAATGCGCCGTTGAGGAGAAACAGGAGGATATATATAGCATTTATTCGCAGCTCACGGGGTTGACCCTTTTTGTTTACATGTGCCACCCACCCACTGTGGGATTCAGTACTATAAAATGAGAGTATTTTCAAAGACAGTTGATGATACAATACTTTTATCTAAGCAACTTTGCAAAATTAGGATGATCTTCTAGTCCGAGGTTCGAGTTCAAAAAAGGGTCAGAACATCAATAGGCCTCTGTAGATTCCTACCTTTGTGCAAAAATGCCAAATGTTGAGTATCAAACTACCAGAAAAGCCTCTTTTTATACGGTTTTAGCCCCCCCCACATTTTTTAGACCCCCCACTTTTCTCAACGCTCCGCGGTGTCTGTTAGGTGCCACTGCATCAATTTCCTGATAGTCGCTTCAAACATATAGAATATGAAAGCAATTATTTGCCATTTGGCTGCTACAAGGAGTCTGTTTGGCTGCCATTTGGCTGCCATTTGGCAGTCTTTGGAAAATTTTGGGTGGGTAGCACCGGAGCAGTTTCCCCATACAGATACCCAATTCGGCAGTGCATTTTTACCAATAGACCACGACAAGCTTTTGACCATGTCAAAACAGCTATATTGTAATGGATAATCATCATCAAATATCATACTTCGTTGAAATGTTCCCCTCCCCCCCCCCAACATTGTTCTCGTTAGAATAAAAGAAACAATGGCGTAGCTTGACATTCCAGGCTAGGGGGTGGATAGTCATGCGTAGCAAATGACGAAGAAATACCCTACATTTACCGACGAAGATATAAATAAAGAGAAAATGTAGGTACTATTTCAACTACTGGCAGATGAATTTACCAAAAAAACAGGGATTTTTGCACTAACTGAAGATTTATCGACAAACTCGTGAAGAATTGGTGGGGGTGTGGGTGACCTACACTTTCACTAGCTACGCCCCTGAGAAGAAATGCAAAAACCATCCTGTTCAAAACTTAAGGTATGTCTCCCCAGAACATTTTCACCCCTGCCTTTCCCAATGATTAACAGGGATGTACTGCTATCAAAAATAAAAGGAGGGCTCTTCTATATTCCAGCATTAACTCTGATTGACTTCCTCTTCTTGAAAACGAGACTGAAGTCCAAGGATGGAGCTAATTTTAATTTAAAATAACTAACTGTGCTGAAGGTAAGGTGGAGATGTAATGAATACAAAATGTGAAAGGCAGCAATGACAATGTTCTTTTGACGAGCAGCAACGTAAACGTTACTTGATCCTCTCAAGATGGAAGCAGATGATGATCTTGTTAAAAGGTAATTGTCCTTCATCCCTGCACTGCACTTGTAGTTGTTGGTGCAGTACACTTGTCCTGTGAGATTAGGTTTTTCGATCTTCCTGCTTGAAAAAATCTTCAAATCTGTCTTTTTCATAGTCTGTTAAAAATCAAGTTTAGTTTTTTAGCAAGGATGTTCTCGTTTGTTAGTTTTCAAGCGTAACGAACATTTTATGCGAGATTTTGCGCACAACGACACGAACTTCGGCACAACAGAACGTTCCCTGTCTCTCACGAGGAATATTAGGGTGAATCTCAAAGCAGAAATTTGTCCTTTATAGATATTCCAAAAACAAATTCCTAGTCCTAAACGAATTTTATATCCAAACAATTGTTTACCAGAGTGAAGTATTCGGAAGGATCTATAATCCAAGACTGTAAAACGTTAGGTTGAAATGTGCACTTATTGAACAAAACTTTCTGTCAAATTCTTTCCTTCATACTTTTGTCGACTACATTTCAGTGTATGATTTTATTATCACACCCATGCCATCAAATAGTATACGCCACTTTACTATCAAAAGCATCCAATGCTACACCAGCATGAAAGCAAGCTCTTCACTCACAGTAAAAATAGGCAGCCATCTTGCATTAGTTTGGTAGATTGATAGTTCAGTTCAGTTCATCAAAATTCCACAACATGTAATTTAATAGCAAGTTAACAACAACAAATATCAATAACATACAATATAAATATGTCATAATTTGAGGAAAAAAATAATGATTGGAACAGTCATTTAAGCTTTATCTTTTTTGAGCAAAACTGTGCATGCAAAGAATGGGAAAAAATTGTTTCATATTGGGGCATGAGGTCAGCAAGAATGTACAGAATTAAGAAACCAGATTAGATAAAGATTGTTAGCCAGGCTGCAATGATCCCAAAGGAAAGGATCTTTAGAAACCTGGAAGTGTAATTTGCTGATTGTTATAAAAGACAATGATAATTTGTAAATGCTAAAAAGTATGGATGTAGAGTAGAAGGTTTATTTCACTTTGATCAGAGATTTTCTAGAATAAACAGAGGTTTTGAATAATGCCATTGGCCAGTTTTCATCTAGGGCATATAACCCATTATAAGCATAGGTTGAAGCTACAATGGTGATACACTATTTTTCAAATAGCAATATTTTTCAAATAAACATTTTCAGAATTATTTTGTTGTTTCAGGGACTCGTCTGAATCAATAAGGCTGCTGCTGAGCTATGAGGTAACCAGATAATGGAGTTATTCCAAAATTTGATCACATGCTGACTATGCAAAACCATGTTTATGTTATAAAATATATGTAGCTGGTATTGGCTCTATATCAGTTGCTTCGTGCTTTCTGAATGAGGGAGAACAATATTGTCAGAAGTTGTCAACTGAAACTGCAAATTTTGATTTTATAGTTTCAAAAAATCTATAATGGCTGTGTTCAAAAAAATTATAAGTGGACCAATGGGTTTTTTCACATGCTAGTGGTACAGTGTTTTTCTTGATCATAATTTACTCCATGTACAGTCACTCCACTTAATGTCACAATACTGGTTAAAATCACATTAAAATTTAAACCCAAATATGAAGAACTATTCAAGCTAGCTTTGTTCACAGCCACACTCTGTGTGCAGTCACAAATTTTCAAGCATTATTTGGTGGTAGGATAACCAGAGTCTACTATATGTTTTTTTCTTGGTTAATGAATTGCCAGGGAAGTTTGAATTAACAGAACTAGCTGTGTTAATTTGCCATATAGAGTTTTTGCCCTAACAGTCCACCCATTCTAAAGCTTCTTACAACAAAGCATTGATTAGCTTGGCCATAGAAAAAGCACATAGTATTACTGCATTGCATCATCCAAAAACCTTTGATTGATAAACAATTTAATCTTTTTTTAAGACCAGTCTATAGCACAACCCTTGCCAAAAACTCTCTTATTCTTAAGAGACACAAAATAAAGAGAGGAAAATTTACAGATACTTCTGATCAAATGATGGTCTGCCCAGCTTATGAGTCACATCTGACAAAACCATAATTGCATTTAACCTTTGACATACATAGCACTTTTACTTCCGCATTCAATGAGATATTCAACATCCAGAAACTCCTGATCTGATAAATTAATCCTGATCTGTGCAAGATACAATGCTGAGTGATGTTTGCACTTTGCAATGTTCATGAAACCATCTTTTGAACTTTTGTTTTTTTAGTTATGATATCTGATTTTATAAATATTTTTCAGAGTAATGCAATCAGATACACAGATAATGTCTTTTTCTGTATCATGCAACTTATTCGGGACACACTCTCGCAAGAAAAGATAGTAGAAAATGATGATTCATATGATGTTGCCTTGAGATGTTTGCTTAAGGTATTTCAGGACCTGGTAAGACTTATCATGTTTTGTTGCAAGCTTTGAATTAAGGATTGGAATTAGAAATGACAAAGAGTGAATCACCAAAACTTTCTTTGCTTCAAAAGCTCAATTAAAATGGGATCTCATACTTTTATGACAGTTAAAGCCTTTGAGTAGCAATAATTTCATGGCTTTTTATAGACAATTATGAAATGAAGCATTTTAGGAGAAGCAAAGATTCGTTATAGAAAACCAATCTGGAATTTTTACACATACTGACCTGCCATTATCAAGTCATTGTTTCAAAACCTATCCTTCCCCAATTCTAAAAATTCCTGTATCAATGTTCTGACAATCAAGAAGTTTATTTGAAGAAGTACAATATTTACACAAATCAATTCAACATTTGGCTTCCTAGAAAATGTTATTCCAATTTTGTTGCTATTTCAGCCATTATCAGACCATATGAACATTTTGCCAGATATTGTTGGTTTACTAAAGCAAAGGTATTTACTATCAAATTTGCCACATGTTTATTTTTTATTCATATTTATATTTGTATCAAACCAGGATCCACTGAGTCTGCTTGTTATTTGTTTTCAGCTCCAGGGTAGAAAATTAGTTATATTTTTAAAGAAGCAAGCCTATTTATTTCCATTTAATTGCTATAATTTGCTATCACATATATTCCTTTATGACAGACCAGTTAACAGTTAGTTTTGTTAATTCATATGATATAGACAAAATGCCCATAATCCATGGCAAGCTTGCTTCTCTTACTTCTCTATAAAGTTTTCTTGAAAACTAAAAAAATATCAGCTCCAGAACTTAATTTACTTTTCAATTCACCAGGGTAACTGAATGTAATGTGCTTAAAAAAGTCAAGATTTGTGGTAAGTATGACATTTTTTTCATATTTTCGCTACTTTATACGCTACTTAAGTATAAAGGCATTCATTGACTTGAACTAATCAGGATTAAAATCTGGTCACTTTGAAAATTTTTGAAACAATGGCAAAAGGGGAGAAAGAATTCAGTTTATTACCGAACTTGGTTTACTTGCTTTAATTTTTGCCAGAATGTTATTAAATCCATTGCCTTATTCAAATTTTAATGCCCCTTCTTATACGGGGAATGAACCTTAGGGGTAGATACTTTGTCAGTGGACACAATTTTTCGTGAAAAATTTTGCTTTTAGATTATTCACTTTTTGTTTAGGCTGACATAATTTTGTTCAATTTTTCATTGCCAGTATTATACTTTAGGATCATTCTTTGCAAAAACTAAATAAAATTATTTTCTGGGTAGAGGTTAGGACGTGGGGTTTTCTTTAAGATAGATCCATTTGATGCAAAGTATGACAAAAATTATTTTTAAGTATCCTCCAACCCTAATATGTTTCAAACTTTTATGAATTATCTTTACTTTTCATAATTTCTCTAACCACATATATAGTGATATGTATCATTTTTTATTTTTCAAGAAAAAATTACTGAGGTGATCAAAAGCAGCAAGCTCAGGGGAAAGTACAGCAAATGGACAGAAATAATTGTTGTATGTGAAAACTTGCCTTCAAAAAATCAGCTTTGCAATACTTCTAAACCTACAATGTTTTTGGTTTTCTTTATTTTTCAAATTAAATGTTATAATGATTTCTTTGGCTTAAATTTCATAATTTAATTCCAAAGAAGGCATTGTAATTTGATTTATGTATTATAGATACTAGTTTTTCATGCATTTTCCAGTTAAAATAATTTTTAGAATCTCAAATTAAATAAAATCCTCTTTTTAGGGAAATTGTGTACAAGACAAAGTTGACATTTTTCAAGGGATTAAAGACTTTATGGAAACAAAGGTTTGAAGTTCATTATTCATTGCTTCTTTTGAAATGCATGAATGTCTGTCTGTGTATTTGGTTAAAGTTATTACTGGAAAAGAAGTTATTTGTTGTACGTTTATATGCTATTGCTTGAAATATTCCCACGCCAGCTTTAATTTGACTCATTTTGGTGGTAAATAGACCCTTGAAGTTGTTTGTCTCACGAAATACATTTGTATATTAAAGACATGATTACCTACCTATACTGGATATGTCGAGAATATACCTATCTTTATTTTTAAAAATAATTCTTGGAATAAGTTAACTTTTTCATTTGTATCCTGAGTTAAATCTGTTAGTTCATGTCTTAGATTAATGATGACTATGCCGGGAACCAGCGAGCTAAAGTCTGCCTTGATTTGATCACGCTCATTGTTAAAGAAGGTAGTATGTATAAAGTGAGTGAAATATTATTCACAATATTGTAACTTCTTCACATATTGATTTTGGAATAGGATAATTTAATGTCATGTATCATCAACATAACGTTAAAAGATATCAGTAAGAAAATTTTCAAATTTTCAATTTTTAGGTATCATTTCATTAGCGTTTTTGCAGTGCTTTTCTTTTGAGCATGCATGATTCAATCTGGCAATATTTTATAAGGCATACTGGCAAAAGTATGTCTGGATATGTTCTTAAGCGCTTTTGACTCATCAAAGTTTTAAGTTAGATTTTTTCGCAAGACAAGCTCTAAGACAAACAGGAAACTAGCGTTAGGTTTGTCATGAATATGTTGGAAATTCGCTTTCAGTAAGGTCAGATTTAAGTTGCCATTCTTATAATGAAGTATGCATGTCTGCGGAATCTTCAATCACACTGCACTTTGTTTTAATAGGCAAGAAACAATTCTTTCGAACTATAATCAATCTATCAATGATATTTGCATTACGATGTTGTGCCTGTCGCGCTTTTCATAAGGTGTCCTGTCGCTTTTGTTTTGTGTGGTATTTTTTGACGACCACAGTCGAGTCTCATGCTACTGCATTTCTATGATTTGTTAGGCCTCTATCAGTCAAATTCCAGGTGATTTTTAAAGCAGCATCTATCACAAACAGCCCTTTCATTGTGGTTCTGAAAAGATGTGTTTTTATTCATTTAAACACGGCTTTTTATTCTTTGATGAAATAGCTTATGATATAAGCTTTTTATAGCTGCTATGTTTCTATTGAAACGAAACGAATTATACTTTTTTCCAGACCGTATTTTTGGACAAGTTTGGTGAAGACTCTTTGGCTATATATTTGAAACGTCAGGAAAAAATATCACACGAAGTTGTTGATTCTTTGTTTCAGCTGGTAAAAAATCTTCCATTTTCTGTTAAAAAACAATGCTTAAAGGAATTTTTTGCTGTGTCTCAGTGAATTAGAATCAACGTTATTTCTACGTTCTTGTATAGCTGCAAGTATGCTCTCAGTCTTTAACCTTCATTTTTGTTTAAAAGGAGCAAAGAAAACTATTTTTCTACATTTTAGTTCTCTTTATCATTGTTCCTTTATTTCAAAATATCTACATTTTAGTTCTCTTTGTCGTTGTTTCTTAATTTCGAAATATAATAAAGTAAAATACAGCAGGATAATTTTTCCTGTAATTATTTGTAGCTTTTTTTTATTGGATGATATAATGCTGGTAGCAGACTATTGACCTAGTGCCGTTCAAGGATTATCTTTTTTTGAGATAAAGTGAACGAAGCAGTCTGTGTTTGACTTTGATTTCAACTTTTATTTGCAGCACTTTTCACTTTATATCAATATTGATGGTTTGTCGATGAGTTTTCATTTTGAGGTTCAAGATATCTGACATTTCTTATGTTTTCCGTATGCAGCTTGTCAATGGAAACTGGATACCTGACAATTATTGCAATGTCATTGCAAACGGGGAAGTTGCAAATGTTCTGATAGATATTTTACCCTGCCTATCATCAGACTTGCAAAGGTTTGTTTTCTTGTTGTGAAAGGCCACCTTCCTTGATTTTTTAAAAATCCTGATTATAACTCAAAATTGTCTTCGTTATTGTCTTTGTATTGAAATTTCCATTTAAGCTGCGCTTTCGAACTAATGTTCTATTTATAGCTGAAGAACAAAGGTGCCATTTTATGTCAGCTTAATGATCAAGGCATCTTTGCCTTAATTCAACATTGGTTAAGGCTCCATCCACTAACTTTATATGACCAACAATTAAATGTAAAACTGACAATTTCCTTGATTAAACTTTTGTCATTTATCCAGGTATTATCAAAATAATAATTAGGCAATTAGCCTACACATCCCATTTTTACGTAAATCTGTTTGAATCTATCTCATTCTTGCCATTTTTTTTTAGTCTTCGTATTTCTGTAATTAACTGTCGTTACTTTGTTCAGACGCATGTCACATAACATTGGTAATGGTGTCAACAAATTGCTACTTCTATTACTTAATAGGGTGTGGGTGCAATTGGAGCATAAATATACCTTTACACTTTTACGATTTTGTAATTTCGTCAATAGGATTCATAGATTTCAGCACCATTTTAGATCGTATATTTGCAAGAGATAATATTAAATGTTGAAGAAATCTCACTTTTTGATAGTTAAAGTCAAGGCCTCTCACAAAGAATGCTTCATCGTTTGTTTAAACGTAAAACAACTATTTGGGACATTTTTGCAGAGAATCAATGGATGGTAATCTTGATCCCCTAAAAATGGGCGTGAATTCACATACACGGGAATCAAAGTGTATTCAAGGCCATAAATAGAATGGGAGTTTAAAAAAATTGATCTAGATTAAAATATTTTATTGCTCCGTTTTACACACTTCAAACTTATTTTTTACGTGGTCGGAACCGAAACAGACTAGAAATTTGCACAGCCAATTTAAGATATTTTGACCAACTCAGTTCAATGTGTTAGCAGCGACGGTCAACACAAAAGCTAGTATTTCTTTACACAATGCATGTTTATGTGCTGTTAATATCTGGCGGATACATTGCAAGGTTTTCCTCGTGTAATTGAATATATATATTTATATATGTGGCGTTCGCCATATTTCCGCAATCGTTCTTTCTCGTAAAGAGCAAATTCGAACTAAGAAACGGCCCAGGTTTCTGTTCTATCTCATCCGCTGTTTTTTGACATATAACTAAATTTTTAACCATGGTAAAACACAAATTATAAATGATAAGAATCAATGTAGGGTATGGTTCTTATACCACGTCGTTTTATTTCAGACATGTCTGCGAAACTCTGCGAGTCATCTGTGCAGTTGTTGCCCATAACAGAATCATTGCATGTCAATATGATCTTATTGGCAACATAATAAAACTGTTGAAAAACGGAGAAAACCTGCAGAAACAAACTCTCAGTAAGTTGTTGCTAGCTTTTAAATGATTGTTTAATTATTGCAAATTAGCAGCCTGTAAAATTGGTTTGTAGTATTTACTAGTTCCATATTGCCAGTGAATATTTGATAGTTTCAAATTGCTGGGATGGAATTTGATGGACGGACTCAACAGCATTTCTATGTATATTGGAGTGGATCTTCCACAGACAACTCAAAGCCTAAGAAAGTTAAATTCCATTCGTTCAAGCTTGTAAAAAAATTCATGGTGCAGGAATAATTTAAAGAACATTCATTACCTAGAACAAAAGTACGGTCTCCTGAGCAATTTAGTTATATATCTTTTTGAGCCAAACTCTCAAGTCTCTTTGCAATCAGGTCTTTCCGTAGTAATGTACAACTTTCTTTCGTACCATTCAAGAAATAGTGAATTCTTTTCCATTAGTTGTCACCAATTTTGTTTAAGACTTGCCATAAGAAATAAACTATTGTCGATAGATTTTTCTCACCTACTATTTTCCTTCACAGGTTGTCTCATAAGTCTGCTTGAAATTCTTGGCAGCCTTTCCATCAAACCAGATCAATTGAAAGTACTCATTGGGCTTTTTAAAAGCAACGAAGAAACGGGACAAGTAAGACTTTGACGTCTTGTGTGCGCCACTGTTGCCAAACGTTTTAAATTATCTTTTGTTGTCTACATTTCGTAAAAAAATTTCAGACAGTAGATTCTGTACCTAATTCGCACATTAGTATTGTTAAATTGTTTACACTTTGATTGCACAAAGATCGCCATGCCATGTTGAATTACGAACTGCCGTATTATATCAAGCTGATGTTTCCTGTTTGTACATAAAATGTGTACCGGACACGCTGTAGAACAATTTGATAAATATCAAATTTTATTATTTAGAGAAGGGGTCAACGCAGTTATTGAAAAGTTTCTTTTGTGAAGATATTATGGTAATTACTGCAATCGACACTAGAAGCTCTGTAAACTTCTAAGTTCTTTTAAACAACCAATGATTATTGGACACTAAATTGGTTAACGTTTTAGGAACCTAAGACTGTCTTCCTTTATTAGGCACTTTGTATTTCAGGATTTTTTCAGGCTGATTCTTCATTTTGATAGCCTGCGTGCATTTGTGGTAGGAAAGATTTCACACTTGAGAAATTTAGAGTCCGCACACAGGCCATCTTGTTGACAATTGACAATTTGTTAACAAGAAATCCCCAAGACTCTGTAATGTTTGATTGTATATAATTCTATTTCTCAAAGAAAAAATCGAGGCGATCCTTGGCAGGACTTTATTGTAGTTCCTGTCCGAGAATTAAATACCCATTCGGTGGGATTTGCTCTTTCTAACGACCTGGATGCCGAAACCACTGGTTTAGTAATTTTAACATTCTCATACTGTTGGTTGAATCATTTTGCTTGAGAATCAGATAAAGTGCTTGTTAACCTTTTTGTTATGGCATGTGTTGTTTCTGTTCTTTTTTGTCTATATTACTTCTCTATTTTTCTACGCAAAATTCATAGGTTTCTTACAATGATCGACTTTTGCAAGCGCTGGAACGTATGGCGTCTCAAGTTGATGCCAGACAACCAAGGCATTTCATCGACTTTTATGACCCAACTGATATTTTCGTGAGTATTAAAGCTTTGCCACTGTCTGCAGTTAATGAAGGATACATATAGCTGCGGTTGCGCGAGAAACTTCGAATGGTTCCGTTTGGAGCGTACCGTTAAAACAAAGCTTTTTTAAACTATTTAACAGCTCCATAAAAATATTTTGATAAGCCTTTTTCTATCAAATAGCGCTTTTGGGAACGGTGCAAAACGGAATTATTTTTAGGTGAAACCGCGTAAGCATGGCTAGCAGTTCAATTTGAAGTTGCTGCAAGATGGGTCCCGTGTAAATGGAAGGCCTAACCGTACTCATCTCAGTGCGGTTCCAAATGGAACTGGTCTCACATGAGCGCAGGCTATATCAATGCTATTTTACATACAAAAATAAATGCAATTCTTATTGAATTATAAAAATCAATCAAAGAACAAGGAGATACATACCGTTATGCTTGCCACGTGTTATTTACTCAAAACCTTCCTCCTCAAAAGTTATATTTGTAAACTTATGATACTTCTAACATTTAGTTAAGATCTGCTACATTTCCCTCTAGTATACTCACAGCCTCGACACACAATTGTTAAACAATAAGCACTTCTCCAGGAGCATACTTTCAACCCCTCCATATTGACACCAGTTTGCCGTTGGCCTCATACATTTCATGTCTACTGTGATCTTGTTTAAAATTGACCAATATTTGATGATTTTTGACCCCGTAAGGCGTATCTATAATATAACCATACCCTACCACACACAACTCCCTTTCCAATGCTCTCAAAATCGGTCTTTGAATTGAGGCATTCCCCAGCTATTGCCACTTGTTCTGCAATTGTAATTGAACAAAATGCTTTTGAAATTGTTGTTAGAAAACAATTTTAGTGATTGATCTAACCATTCATTTCTTTTTTTGAATTAGGCTCTTTCAGCACCTTCATTCCTTAAATGGAACGGCAGAGGAATTACTTTCCACACTTGGCTATGTCTCGATTTCAGCCTTCCAACACCAAAGACACGCCAGTTCAAAGTGAGGCATATGCTATACAGGTATTGCATGACACTACCAGGTTAAAAGTCTATGATTTTTTAACTCAGAAATGAAATATGGAAAACGAGACGAATGTAAAGTTATTTGTAGGAGATATGCTTGGGTGTGAAATACACTATTTTGATGATAGGAAGGTAGATTACGGCGATATTTTGTAGACTGTAGTGCTAGAGCATAGCAAAGATTAAGTTTGTCCCGATCAGAAATATAAAATGCTTATGTAATTTTGATACCTATGTAAGGTCACAATAGTCTGAATAATAATATAAACTGCTATATAGAACTTTGTCAGCCGGGCAATTGGTTCTAGACAGCATATAGTTTTGATGTCTCGTCCCAATTTGTGTCTCTTTTTGTAACTATCCGACTATGTATCATGAGTGTTCAAGATTTGACTGAGACTTCTACCCTTTTTTGTCTTTCTATAGATAAAATACATTTATTTCTTATAACACTTTATTAACCGCTTATATTAAAAACTTTGCATTTGTGTAACGTGGTTGCCGTAAGGCTGATATCATTCTAAAGAAAAATAATTTTGATTTTAAGCTTTCTAAGTTCAACTGGTGAAGGTTTTGAAGCCTTCTTCACCGAAAAGGGATATCTCATCATTGCTGTTTGTACAAAGAAGGATTACTTTGCCTCATCAGTTACAGAACTGCCGTTTGGAGACCAAGAATGGGTGAGGAAAAATCAATTATTCTTCTTGTACGTCCAGATTTATATCAGTTTAATGCTGTTTTGGTTCCAGGCTGAAAGGCACCTGGCTTTTTAGTCAGTCGGAGAAGGTACTCCTTTGAAATAGAGCTGCGAGATTCGCCGGATTAAAAACTGGTTGCTGTGTTAAGAAAGTTGTTTTGATTCACCGCTGTAACTTCAAGTACTGTCATTAGAACTCCTGTCAAAGTTCGTTTTTATTCTCTTCGGAAATTTAGACGCTTTCTATCAATAACTGGTATTTGATCACATTATTTTTTCCCTCCTTGATGCACATTAATTTTTTGATAATTTCATGTTTTTATCACAGCATTCTCTGGCCATTGTCCACACAAAGAAATCTTTTGGAAGAAGTTTTGTGACTGTTTATGTTGACGGGCAACACTTTCACCAGGCTTTGATGAAATACCCTGTCACTGATGTACGCTTATTTCTTTCTGTTTCTTGGGTGTTTGTAAATTGATAGTAAGATTTCAACGTATTTCATAGGAATGTCAATTCTCCAACACAGTTTTCTAGAATTTTGATCTGTTCTCAACGTTTTCAGCGTCCTCGAGTTTCTCATTTTAAAAAAGGTTTTTGTGGCATCTAAATTTTCTGCCTTTGTTTGTAACCTAGTCCTGTGGCAAAAAACCATTCCTCTATTTATTTTTTTCAAAATTAGATTCCTTTATAAATCTTTTAAAAGTAAACTGGTGTTCCCTCAGTTGTCCTAGAGGTGGAAATGTTTGGTATCCCCTTGATTGATATATATATATATATACCATATTAGAAAATTAGAAAGAATTTGCTTTATTTGAATTGAAGTTCCTGAATAAAAATCTTTGCTACTTTTTGCAGCTAATCATTTGCTATTGCATGTTGTATATTGGTGCTATATGTTCAAGAGTTTAGAATTTTGACTCGTATCTTTGCATTTTTCTTTTGTTTGTAGGATCTGGTTTACTCTACCATCGGCTACGGTGTTCGTTTTAATCCGAACTTTTACTACAATATGCACCCTTCACCTGTCCCGATCAAACAAGTAGTTACGTCAGAATACCCAGGATGCACCGCTGCTGGTCAACAAAACAGAGTTTGGGGAGAGGTTTCAAGCCTAAAAGGACAAATAAGCTCGGTCTATCTGTTTAATGAGTCTTTAAGCCAGGCCACAATTGCTGATGTGTACTTTGCAGGTAATTTATATTTTGTGCATGGCTTCGCATATTCATTTGTGTTGACAGTATAGTTTCTTCGCCCCTTTTACTTAGACTGCTCCTCAGTGGCGGTTGGCCCGAATATAAGATGGTACTGGTAAAGCAAAAAAATTTAGCAGAGCCAAACAGCTAGAGGAAGGGTGGCGAAGGGGCGTGGTCTCTGGAAAATGTTTGTTTTTATAGCTAATATGGCCAAATTGTCTTTTAATGGCGGGCCAGTAGTTTTCATATAATACTTGGTTTGTCTGATGTCATGTGATATTGCCAGCTGCAGGGGTTAAATGACCGACGGTCGGGGATGATCCTCGATGCTAAAAACAATATTTGAGCGCCAAAACTACAATTTTGAAAAAGTTTGGAAATATGGCTGTTGATAAAGGCTAGATAGAGATCCAAGGTCGACCTTAGCTTAAACAGAATCAAGCAAGTGTTGCGAATCCACGATGCGCAAGTTATAACACTGTGATTTGCTTTGCTCTCAAGAGGTAGATAAAGTGCAAACAGCCTTTTCCTACCAAATGTCAAGCACCAATTAGTCCAGAGGGTCACAGGGGAGCATTAACACCCGACAAGGGACTTAACCAGACCAACTTTTTCTAGATCAGTTTTTGATGAAAAATTCAAATCTGGATGTTGATCGGGCGGGAGAATTGGCTTTTCCGAGATACGGGGAGTTTTTCGAGATAAGTGTCGCTGGTCTACCCCATCAGAACGATTTGAACTAGCTTTCGAACTACAGATTACCACCATGGCATCGCGATCTCCGAGATAGTCTATCTTAAAGGTAATCGTCAAATATTAAATTGGCCGAAGCCATCTGTGGCCAATAAGCTAGCGCCTAAGTTGTATCAGGCTTATTTATTGGTCAATTGTAGACTGACAGACGGCTTGGACCATGTATCTTTCGATTGCTTTATACCTGTTTGTCTATTTCTGTCAATTGCAAGGATTTTTTAAAAAAATGTTGCGAAGTAAGGCTGATAAGTTGAGAAGATAGTCAACGATCTTAGAACTGGAAGGTTCAAAGTTGCTGCTCCACAAGTTTCATGCGGTAGTCTGACGATCGCTCGGAACACGCGAACCATTCTTGTCTGCAAACCAAAGGATGTACATTTCTTTTACATGGCATGTGACAAAACACTGTCACAGACCAGTTATAAGCAGTCTAGATCGTCTAAGAAACGTTGTCAAGTTGTATTAATTCATAATGATAAATTTTATTTGACAGGACCGAACAGCTGGAGCAATAAAAAATTTTCTGATGGTTTCGATACTCTGAATTTTGAATTGACCAAGCAGCTTGTTTTGCATTTTGACGCAAAGGTTTGTGTTTTTCATTTGGTTTTGTTTACATCAGATCATTGTTTGTCTTGTCCAGTCAAGGTTTTTCTCAATAAGCAAGGAAATATAGGCTTGATTCAATTTTGGGTTTGTCACCTTAGGTTCATTTGGCTTCTTCTTTGATCTCATCATTCTTCTGTCCTGTATTATTTCTTGACTTTGATAAAGAAACGTATTTCCTTAGTCTAATATCTGTGTTTGTTTGCAAACGGGAAGCATGGGAATAATCGAGAACCTAATGATGACCAAAGTAAACAATAAGTAATACTACGTCACAGAAAAGTCGCTCGGTTCCAGTCTGCAATACTATAATACAGCTCAACAATTCTCTTTACCGTTAAAACTCTATCTAATGAATGCTACTTAAATGATTGACTCTCAAACTTTATTTTCAAGGCAGCATCTGGGGACACTTGCTTGGATCTTAGCCCCCCATCAAACTTCAAAAGTAAATGTTCTCAAAAGTAAGTTGTTTCTTTTTTTATTTGCCCAGGTTGCTTTTAATCTCACTAAGAGCAAGGGGAAGTTCCGTCCCCCTTCTGATATCAAACTCAAGAGAGGCGCCAAAAGTTCAAAAAGGGGTTGAACCCAGTTGATGATGGTTTCTCAAAATGAAACGCCTGATCGTGCTTTTAAAGCAAAGTTTGGTACTTTACTATATTCAAATTCAAGCTACCTATCTTTTCTTTGCCCCCACTCCCACTAGACAACTGATATCAAGAAAATAATATTATAACAAATTTGTCATTTCAAGGGTAACTTTCTACGACAAACATTTGCTTAATCAGTATTCAATGTCTTATCTAGCAGCATTGTATGAAAAAGATATGACAGAACAGTACATCACTCTCTACAATACTTGAATAATCAAATTATATACATTTATGGTTTATAATTATGATATACCTTGAATTAAAGTTGTGCATTGCACATTGTGGTTTTAGGGTATACACTAATTTTTTATAAGAAACTGGCTATAAAAAACGAGTACTTGACAGTCAGAAAAAATTAAGAAACTTCAGTACTCAAAGCAAGAAAATTAAGAAACTATTAAAACGTGATAAAACTGAGAACAACAAATTTAAAATCCAAGAACAAGATTGCCCTGTTGGCCTAGAACTTAAGACGCAAGAGATAAAAATATACTTCCCGCATCTATATACAGCATCAGAACGGAAGCGAATCTCTTGACGTAATAAAATTCATGACATCATTCATGACATCATAATTAAGAAATTCTTAAGAAAAAATGAGTATTGAAATTTCCAGAACATTAAGAAGCTGGAGTACTCAACATCGACCTTTGTTTCTTATAAAAAATGATTGTATTTGTTTGCTGCTGTGCTTAAACTACTCTGTAACAAACAGTTGTTCCACTGATCTTCAATTTTTTCAAAGTTTCTTTAGTTCAATAAATTTAGTATATTCGTTGTAATTTTTTTTAATATTGAGTATGATGTTCAAAATCTCTAAAACATTTTATTTACTTCCAGCTTATCGGCTCGAGTATGTTCTGCATGGGATATTAAGGTTTTTATCGTTTTGATACATTCAATTACTGATTTACTTTCAATTATACACACTCTAACAAACCAATGACTTTTAAATGCTTCCAACCTTGCCTGTCTATTCGCTCTTGTTTTGTTAATGATGTAGTCTTAGAGCCTATCATTGCACTGGTGTTTACTCACTTGTTTTTCAGTCCAAAGAGCCAATTGAGATTATTCAAAATAAACTTTATGAGACAAATGAGAGTCTACTCAAAATTAACATTAAGTAAATTTTGCAATGTTTTAGAGAATAAGAATAATTAAAACGGACGTCTGCTAGAATCAAATGACTGTCCTTTTTAGTTACATATTTTCCGGAGCGTACTGTTTGCTGGCTTGAGCCTTAAAGAAAAAGGTCTGGGACTGAATCCTTGATCTGTTGTAGGCTATACAGAAATGAAAGTAAATGGAGGCTTCTCCAAAAATTTTTGAGCTTACTTCCTTAATCACGAAAGATGCTTATTTAATGAGAGAAGATGCTTTCAGATTGTTCTCAGTGAAAGGTGAAATCATAGATACCTAATACATTCGGTTACCTATTAAGCCTTCCTTTATTTGGGTGAAAAGCTTCTTAGCAGTGTTGCTATGCATTTGCTCCTCAGGGTTAAACTTCACTCTTTTAAGTTTTCATCATAAAAAGTATTCATACAATGATTGGAGGACTTGGTAGTGCTTAGGCAACCCTGAAACGACAGTTTCCAAATAATGCTGTATTTTGGTCGTAGAGATCATTACAGTTCACGTTTTTGCCTTCCAGAGCTCAATACAATGCATCGGTGGGCTGCCAGTTCTTTTTCCTTTGCTGGAGCAAGTGAAATACTCGGAAACGCCAGCAGAAAAATTGTCAAGGGACATAAATCTGCCAATGATAAAAGGTCCCGAATCACTTTATGCAAGATCTATATCCCTCGTTAAAGAGACCCCTTCGCAGGATATTGCAAACGACATCACTCCTACAGAGCCAATGTCTTTTAATCATTTTGGTGAGACAATCAGTGAGGGAGATCCAGAAGAAAATACTTCGGGAAATGAAACTGAATTGACTTCTCATGACAAGAAAACAATGCTCACTACAGCGCACCATGAAGAGGCTCCTCGGCACAGTTCTGTTGCCAAAGAAGAGGCATTGCCTATACTTCCAAAATCAGCTGATCGTAGACAAAGAGAAGGTCAAGGTGCATCAACTGGAAGCTTCCTTCTCATTGATTCACCGTAAGCCAAGAATAACTTCCTTCATCAATGATCCCCTCGGCTCTTCATATCATTTTATGATTTTTTTTGTAGCGAAAAAGACATATTTTCAACTCTCGCTCAATTTATGATTTTCTTCTTCTTCTTCACAACGAAAGTTGATAAACTTTGCTTTTGATTTGAATTCTTGATTGGGGAAACTCAATCATATTTGAGGTATTTGGCAGAAACTTTATTTTTCATATCTTTCCCCATCAACAGGGAGCTACCAAAATCAAACATAACTAAAAGAGAAAGTACAGAGGAATGGATCCTTATAGACAAGTCAACTGCTCGTACAAGAAATGTAACTTTTTCAAAGTGGACTAGGGATGATGATAACTACTACTTAAATGGAGCCGCTTATTTCATCTCACTTTTACGCAATATGCTTCTTGACCAAAAAACTGCACAAGATTTCTTTCTGCAGTCTAAAGGCGTGCAGATCATGGGCCTTGTGCTGCAGAAATGTGACCCAAGAATCATCAATGTTGGCTTCTTGATGTCTGTTCAGGCTCTTGTGGAAAGTTTCTCTCGAGACAGAGACGACTTGCTTAAAGCCATCTACCAGCACATTTTGTTCGACTTCAGGATCTGGACAGACTCAGACATATCAGTACGAATTGCGCATGTGCAGCTACTATCAACTTACGTTAAGGACAGCCCTGAGTATTTCAGTGAAAGTTTTGGTGTGAGGTTTATCATGCAGATCGTCAATACTCATTACAACGGAAATCAGAGGCACATCAGGAGAGAGAATGGAATCGGACTGGGTAGTGAAGACCGCAAATGCGTACGCATGGCTCTTCTAGGTATTTTTGTCTCTTTTTTGTTTGAAGCAGTGCAACCATTACTTTCCTCCTTTTTTCGTATGAAGCTCTATGTTGTGCTAAACTACTCAATGCAAATTAAAATCTGGTATTTGCACCTAAAATTAAAAATTCTTAGCTGTTGTGATTTCCATTTTCAAAACTCATTTTAGCTGCTGTGTCTAATGCCATAATTACTATAACATTGATTTGATCAATTTACTTAACTAGACGACAAAGTTTTATTTGTTTATTTAATGTGTTTGTTAAATTTCTCATATAATTAGTTGTTTGTTAATTAAGACTGGTCCCACATAGTTTCACAGCTAAGGGAAATGCCCGTTGTGGAGAACAGTTCAGATGACTTGAAGGGGCTTCTGCCTGTACTCGCTAACTTTTATCCCATCGTTTACACATCCTTACACGCGGACTGGGTCTGTATCTGAACTAGCAATCTCCAGTCATGCGCATTACTGGCTTTTGCTACTTCGTCCTTTGTTGTTAGCGGATTTTTTTGATCAACGTAAATTGATTCTCTTCCTTTGCATTTTCAGGGTTGGTGTCCTTTTATCTAAAATCTTTTAAACGTGCAGCCGATGTCTCAGCTTTGGTTAATTATATAGCAACTTTGCAAGATTTGGAACTGCTGAGTGAGATTGTAGAGATAGTAAAACATATGTTAGAGACAGCTGGTGAAAACCAAGGGGACCTCATGAAATCAGTTGCAGGTATGCCTACGAAGTGCCTCTGACATTTGCTTCTTTGTTTTTATTTTCCCCCAAATCACTCAGCTCTGTTTGTTGGTATCATAATGGCGCTAGTAGTACTTTTGTTTCCCTTCGTATCCTAGTCTTTTCTCCTTCGTAGCTCCTATGACTTATAAAAGACTTTTTTCATTGTTGTCAATAACATTATTGGATAATTACGTCATTTCAATAGCTCTGTTAAAGTGAGCTATAGTAAAGCCCCTGCGAAATCTTGTCATCGTTTTGTCAATGCGTTGAAGGAAAAGGAGCACCCTTTTGGTTTTTCTCTCTTTCTATGGAATCGTTGAATTATATTATGGCTTTGAAACATTTTAAAACATACTTTAGCTTTTCGTCTGACAATCAGTAGAGTATTAAACGTCAGCACCAGGATTAAAAAGATCAGGCTGGAAAATGTTTACGCAGTTGTTGATTGAAATAAGCCAATCAGAAATACGCGAACACATGACCGGTATGGGTACCCAAAAAGTGCCGGGTTCCTAAAAAATATTCACTCCGAGGGTGAAAACGAACTCCTACTATCGACAAAATAGTCGGCTTTAGTTTTGTATGTGAATCGATTCTAAACTTTCTAGATGAAAAGATTTCATGTAGCTTATTTGTTGAAAGTCATTTTCAAAGTTTGTACTGTCAAAAATTGTTCGATGACCGCCTTTCAGTAGCATCAGTCTTTCAACGTTTTATCCCTTCATTCGTCTATTAATTATATAAGTACCACTTTAGGTATTTATTCTAAAGGCGATGAATAACAAGTAATTGTGAATAGCATAGAGCTTATTTCATCGCTTGTTATTTACCAGATTCTGATTTGCCGATCATTTACACCCGGTGGCTTGTTCATGATGTGAAGAAGAAAATAAGACTGGACATCCTCAAAACACTGTGGCTTCTGCTTTCATCTACAAAAGTGCATACCGCCGTTAAATCGAAGATTCGCTTGAAGAATGTTGGTTATGATTCAGTCTGCACTTTGTTATCAAAGCAAGCAGTCACCCATGATGTCGTCATTTCGCTGCTGAGTCTTGCCCAGTCTTCTGAGCAAACCAGTCTCAACGGCGTGGATATATTCGTGCATTTTGACATAATTCTCGCTGTTTTGTCCCTCATCAGGACACTTTCTCCACATATTAAACTGGAAGTCGCACTAAAGGTATTTAAATTGCTCGATCCATTATATTTTAAAACTTAATAAGTCTATCATGATGATTTAGACAATTGCTTTATAGAATAAGAATTTGCATGATGATTTAGAAAAGTATCGCCCATAGAAAAGTAATGCCAATCCGGAATAAACCAAAAGGAAATTTTCCTAAGGTGCTCATTCCAACTGAAGCTTGGATAAAAAATAACTCTTTAATTTGAAGCAACGTATGCACAACTATTTAGAACTGTCGAAAACTAATTTTTTCCCTGTATCATTTATCGAAAAAACATTATCCAGGTTGCAATCACTTCATGGCTCTTTGCTAATTTGTAGATTATTTGTTGAAATGGACATTAATTCAGAATTGTAACTTTGTTTTAAAGGTGCGACACTCACTGAAATGCTATCCACAAAGTGCCAAGAAATGTGCACAGATTGCTGCTTGGTATGTTCCGTTTCTCGAATTGATTGTGATTCATCCGGATAGCGAGTTGTCATCTGAGCATGATCAAATTCAAGATGAACTGGTAGAAGTGGTCTTAGAGATAATACACTTGTCGATGTGGAAAGGCATAGATGGATCTGATCCTGGAGTTTGGAAGGTTGTTTTTATAAAGTTACTTTATAAACTATAGCATTCAGCAATTCGACGTAACTTCGATGATGAACTGAGTATGGTAGCAACTGTAATTGTGATGTAAACAACTCTTTTCTAAGGATTAAGGCATATTTAATGCACGAACCAGTTTTACCAAACTTGTTAAGGTGTTTGGGAAGCTTTTAGACAAACTGCTATCCCACTAATATCCAAAGATGCATGAAAGTATGCTAATTGCTCGACAGATTTTAAATTCAAATCTTAACGGTTTACTTCAGTTTTTAAAATTTTGCCATTTTTCCAGAGAATTTTCATTTCCTTTCCATGAAAACTCAAAGATTATTAAGCGAGAGTATTTAAAATTATTCATTGATAATTGTACTTGTAGTGACCTTTACAGGTGATTTTCTTCCAGCCTTCTATTAAATGCGCTTACTAACGTGTATTTTATACAGTAAACAACCCTTTCCATTCTAGATGCTTTGAGGCGTTTCAATGCTCCATCTGGATTTCAGAAACTATAACTTTAGTAACATTGAAATTTGTTTTGAGAAAGCAAACATTTCACAACATACTACTTAAAGCTTTTTGTCTTACACTCCTCGGAGTATAAAATGACAAAAGAAGGGTCCGAAAGAGCACAATGAAAAGTTGGATGAAATATTTCTAAAATGTTGGATTTTTTCAGAAAGTACCTTTTTGATTAAAAAGTGCGATACACACAATGGAAGAATCACTTTTTAGTTTATATGATATTATTTTTTGCTGACTGGATAAGGCATTTCTTTCAAGCAACAAATTCTCTATCTTAGGAAAGAGGCCAGCCTCTTGCTGCTTTACATCAGATGGCTGCAAGGAACGAGTTCATTTTGCCAGTATTGGTAATTGAAAAGAAACTGCTGAAGAAATGCATTAATGCTTGTTCTGTTGCTTTGAAAGAATCGGTTCAGCCTTGGGCTGTTGATACAATGAATGCAATTCAAATTGTTAAACTCGTCGAAGATTTCCTCCTTAGTACTGGTAGGTGAATCCGTCAAATTTGAGTTTGTAAACTCTGCTATCGTGCATTTCAACACTTTCACCCCCTACAATTCATATCAGACTTTTCTAAAATCTTTGCCCTGCCTAAAACCCTGCCTATTTAGGTTATAGCTGGATGTAAAGCTTTCATTAAAAATCTGTTAGTTATTTGTTATGTAACCTGAAAATTACTTTTTATCATTGCATTATCAAACCTAGCTGGTAAATCTTACACAACAAAAGAAATGCAAGAATTCTAAACCTGAATGATTGCTTTTTTATTGAAAGGTGTTTTTTCTTTGTAGAATTCAGTGAAACGTCAAATGAAGTCTGGAAAAAGAAATGGGATATAGAGGTAAGACTGTTTACTACAACTGTACATTTACATTACCACAGACAGCAACAAGGATGTTGATTATGGAAGAGAAGATAATTGTGGAGAAAGCATATGTTCAGATGTGTCTTGATCTTGCGATCTTCCTCTATGTCCGCTGATTGGTGATAACGAGGATCCAATCAAATGCATCGCTCTTCCTTGGTAGTTATTTTTGGTCCGGCCATGACTTCGACCCGCATTCCGTTTACCTTTTGAAGTATTCCGCTTTTACTTGTATCAGTACCATGTTCGAGTTGAGCAGTCTTATGCAATATCAACGACCCAGGATGCAGGGGACGATTATTTTCATTTAGGAATTTTTATTCGCCGACCGTGCTTGACCTTCCAAGGTGACAATTGATCAACATATCTTCCTCACATCACGTGACACACTCCCACGAGGCATTACATACAATGTGATATTTTATCATGATTAAACTACTCGCGCTTTGCTGAAGAAGTTTGAAATCAATATAGACCCAGTCTCTTGCATACTTCATCATTTACCTTCACACTTCCTTTATTGAAATAGCCTCGTATTCTTTTTCTGCTTCAAAACGAGATTTTTCGTTCCCAACAGATACTTAACTCCTTGCACGACCTCTTGGATGCGATGAATGCCTGGGAAGACAGCACCGAGGCTGGCTCTGAATGGACGGATGTTCTACAAACCGTGGAGAAAATTCTGTTTGAATGCGGCATTGCTGAAGACGCACTTTTTATATCCTATGCAGCTGAGAAGCTTCGCAATATGCTATCTAGGCGCAGAATTACAAGCAGAGACGAGGCCTGTTACGAAGTGGGCTGCCTCAACCGTCTTTATAAAGAGCTGATATCTAGAGGTAAATAAAAGACTATCTGTTCTTATCCTGATCATCCAATGTGATCTGCTGAAGTTCTTCTATGTACAGATATATTCCATTCCTCTTATCTTTACTTTTATATGTATATTTTTTTGTTTATATTCAAGTTTATATATAATATAAGTTTCTCGTATGTATTGTTAATATTTGCAAATTATTTTAAATTAGATATATGCATCATTTAGTTTTTTCAGTTTTTTTGTGGATACTTGAGGCCATTTGTGACGCTCTCTCTGTTCAATAGATTATTCGATGATCTGCCCGTTTCTGTCGTTTTCACTCGCTGTTGTTACGAGGGGCATTCAAAAAGTTTCCGGATTTGAAGAAATAAAATAAACTAACTGAACAGTTTTATCTACATCTTTTCAAATGTAGGAAGGTTTATTCTGTATCTTTGTAAATTTAGGAAATACATAATTACACAGACTTCTTTTGTTTGAAGATGACAGCTCCAGTGGAAAGTTCTTACCTGTTTTCCGGGTTTGCTTCGAAAGATTCCATGACGTACTCAATAGTGACAATCTGCTCCCAAATTTGCCATCATTAGACAGATCAACTCGTGAATTTGAAGCGAAATTCCCTGATTATTTCACCAGCGACGAGTATTGCTCTTTTGCCAATCAGACAGCACGGGTAACAAAAAGATACAAAGAAACAAGCCTGTTAGTTCTGTTCTGTTTTTTTTCTTTATATTCTACTTAACAATTTGGCTTGTATAAGCTCTGTGAGTTTTTTAAGACATGGCCCTAACAGTTTCATCAATGCTTTCAAAACTGTTGCTTTTTCTGTTTTGAGAGCCCTTTTAAGGCCATTAGCAGACTAGCCCACAATTTCTAGTAGTTTGAGCACGGACAAGATTTGAATTAGGACACGAAGATAGAATTTATTGGAATATTAATCTGTTTTTTACTGATGCTCTGCAATTTTTTCCCTAAATGCCCACGCTTTCATCTCTCGAAGTTATGGAATTAACTGCAAATAAAACAATGACGATTTATTTTATTTCTCCATTCGCTAGTAAACAGTTGATTTTTTCAAGACGAAATCTTTTGAACAGGATATACCCAAAACGAAAGTTTGTTTGGTTAAAATGTCACATATTGGATAAAAAAACTCACTAAAGTGAAATTTTGCATTTAGACAATTTAACATTCTACATTAATATCGATTAAATTAAATATTTTACAAACAACTGTTTAAACTGAAGTTTGCTTTGCTGATTTCAGGTCTTTTGCGTTCACTTTCCTATTCAGTTTTCTTTCTTTAAAGCTCGACAAATTCAATCGATATTGGGAGATTCTGGATGGACTGCCTATCTGCCATGGATGCCGCAATAAAAACAAGGAGTCACAGTGTTGAAGAATCGTTGCAGAACTTCTCGCGTTCAGTTTACGCTGTCTTTGAAGAAACGCGAATCGCCGCGCGTGCTTCACAGGTCGATGCGGAAAATTTTCTCAAACATAACTTATCGATGACAAACCGATTATGGGAGGACAGGAAAAAGTTTCTAACGAGTGAAAGAGGTGCATGGACCGAAAGGTATTAGTTTGTAAAAATAAACATTGGGAAATGTGACGTCAACCAATAGGCTTGCCCCCTCCCAATATTTGACCAAGTGTCCCCCCTGGATTTAAATGATCCTATCCTCCCATCATTCAATGGGTACCCGCTAGAAGGAACTTGCCACTCTATCCCGTCATGCTGTGGACCACGTGCTCTCTCTAACAGACACTTCCACCTCTTCCATCATTTTCCTTACACATGTTTTGAAGTACCCATTTTTTGAATGTTCTTAAATTTGTGCTGGACATGGCCATTGCTTTGTAAATAAGTGAAACAAATGTTTTCCTCTTTTTATGAGAATAAAACTCTGGTTTAATTGATGCAAACATGATATATAGTAGTTTTGATTAAATGCTGTGAAACGCCAATAGATATTTTTGCATTCCTTATACCCAAATTTGAACAGAGTTTTGTCAAGCTGTGGAAGCATTTTACAGTCAATGGTTGCAGTTTGACCCGCTAATAACTGTTCTATACTTTGACAAAAAGAACGACACAAAAGATGTTAACAATCTCCTGAAAAATATCAGTTTATCCTGAGTGCTTGTCTATTTTAGCTTGCCCAGTCCCTGGCAAAATATACTGTTTTGTCCGTTGTATGTCTGCAAAGATGTTTTTGTTTGTTAACAAAAGTCCAAGCATTTTTCTTTATCAATATGGGTTTTAGTAAAGTTATCGAAGTTTGAAGAGTTAATTTTTGCTTCTGGTGGTTATTTCTTTACGCACCAGACGGTCTAAGAAGCACGTGTTTGACAGATGATGAAATTGCGCCATGTTGCTTTTGGGGATGCTGTTCATTCTCATTTCAGACAAATGAAATTAATTTTGTCGTAGAAAAATTGAGAAGGCGTTCTGGAAATTGTCTTCAACAGAGAACTCCTCTCGCATGCGTCTGAAGTTGGTAAGAAATTTCAATGGCTCTGAACACAATGACGCAAGTCGATTGCGAGATCAGGATACGGAGTATGCTGTTACACCACAAGAGATAATGGAAATTAATATTCCTGTATCATTGCAAGAGCAAGTTGGAAATGAACTCGTGCTTAGCGGCGAAGAAGAGCCTGACGAGACGGATGCAGCTGCTGATCCAGTGGAACCTACTGAGTGAGTTTGTTTTGATGCAGCGAGTCGCTCAATTTTACAGCAGAGATAGACATCAAACTGTGTAGATACGTAGGTAAAGTTTGATTTTGGATTCGGGCAGGACCCTGTCAAATTTAATAAACATGAGAATTCAGCGCAGATTTCAATAAAATATCATTAGATTCGCTATGTTTATCTCTGTTGTTCAATTGGAGTTGGTCGTATCAATCTTATTGAAGTAACCAATGAGCGTTAGGAAATTCCCTGTTAATCTTCCACGGTTATTCGGATTTGATATTCCTTGGATGTGGGTAGATTTGTCGATACGTTCAAAGTTAAATGAGATGCTCATTATGCTATTACGTGCCAACATGAGTGACCTCGGTGTATCCATGTGTTCGTAATAACTTCATTCGCTAATATGGAAGTGGCTTTGAAAAAAGCAAACATTTTACGACATACTAAAAGCTTTTTCTTCTGACACTCCTCAGAGCATAAAACGTCAGAATAAGTGTCCGAAAGAACACGATGAAAAATAAATACCCAGTTGTGGATCGAAATAGTCCAATCAGAAAAACGCAAGCACAAGACCGGTTTAGTTGACCAATCAGTGCCGCGTGCCTTAATATTGAAGCCTTTTTTCTTCTGTTATAATTTCAGTATATGAATATGTTACAGATCTGAATGTTAGAAATGATAACCTGAGCTTGTTTAGAGTTCTGATAGCATTCCTATGAGTGAGTAAACGGGACATCAATAAATTCCAACGTTCTACGAACAATGATTTCTAAAAAACTGTGACTTTATCGATTAAAATATTTACTGCAAAGCGTAAGTATGCCAAGACATCCGTTTTCGAACTATGTTGCTTTAAAATTTGTTTGCACCAAAGAACTCCAGTCATGTAAAATATGTCAATGAACTCTATCCAAAGAAGTGATGTCACCAAAATCTGTTATAACAATTTTTTAACTTTCACTTTTTAACCTGAAAATGCATCAAAAACTTCCTCTAACTGGGCGAAATCAGTCAAATGTGTTACAAATTGGTTGAGGTACTGCCACATAAGCATAGACACGTTCCCCATCATGTTAACCTGATTTTCCTGTATAGGAGGTATTTTGTGGTATTCAGAAAATCGAAAAATTCTTTAAGGATATTATTGATGACGTCAGATTTTATTTCTCTATAAAATACGAAAAGCTGGTTTGTTCCATATTGGTTCTCAGTCAACGTTTTTGAAAATGTTTAATCGACGTTCGTCTTGAATTAAAATTGAACTGTAGTTTTGCGACATTGTTGGTCTTTTAATGCTATCTAGATTGGTCAATATCATTCACTGTTATTTCTGATACTCGAGTTACGGAACGTTTTTCCGAAAGGACCAAAAGATTGAGCCCTGACAATTTGAAGCCACTAACTACTGTGACGTATATGAAGAGATTATTTCTAAAGAGCCATATTGCATTGGAAAATGTCGTTTTCAAATACCCAAGGGTATTTACCTGTCAACAACAAATGCTTTGTTCTTATGGAGTGAATATTTATCAAGCTGTACACACACGTTCACTGTTTTACCAACTTAAGCATAACTTATGCTGAGAACAAAAAAAATTGAAAATCTTACTCTTTTTACCAAAGTATTCCTTGAAAGTGTATGATATATAAAGTTCTTAAGTGAGAATTTCACAATAATTGTTTTTGTGAATTTTTCAATTTGGATCCCAAAACCTGAAACGTTACCTCTAAATACGCAAAACCATGTAGCCGAATTCAACCTCGGTAATTTGGTCTCTGCTTGAACTTAAAACGTCGCACCTAAGAACATATTCCTGAAATAGTTGCTATGATCTCAAAGTTTTATGAACTGTACCATTTTAGAGATTTGCCATTCCATTCAGATATATCATTTTGAATTTTCTCATAACTAACATTAAAAAAAACTGTACAGCTTACTGTTTTCATTTAAATCGACAATTCTCTTTAAAGAATTAAAGATTTTAGAATTACAAGATGTCTTGAATTCCTTCCGGATTCATGAATGCTTCCTTCCCGATAACAACCTCACAATTAGTTTTTTTTATAACAGGCATATGTATGATCTGAATCCATTGGAAGAGTCTGTTGGGAAAGTCGTCTTGTCCGTAAACTGTCACCTCATAACGCTTATGGACGTAGTTCCTGGAAGAATAGAACTGTCTTTAACCCATATCAGCTTCTTCGACGAATCAAATGACTCCGTTTTTGGTTCCGCTTGCGACTTCTGGTTTCAACTTGAAAAGCTTCAGGAAATGCATATGAGACGATATAATCTACGCAAAACTGGACTGGAGTTTTTCCTCATTGACAGATCGAGTTATCTGATTAATTTTGCAAGCAATAAGGTATTTGTAGGCTTTTTTGTTTCTAGGAATTCTTGCTTCTCAACAGCCATAGATTTTGTATTGTATCTGTTACCCCTTTGTCATTTCTTATGTATTCAACTGTAAACAGATGATAAGTGATACATTTCAATTAAATTAATTTGGAAAATTGAATTCAAACAAGCTTCTGGAACTGCATATTTAAGCAACGTAGCACGAAAGAGTTAAAGCATTGCACGAATCGGATGAAACTTTGGATAATGACCAAAGCGAACAGTCTGACTTGTAAAGACAGAAAGAGTTTTTTTCTTACTTTGGTTCTTCAGCTGTTTGAAGGAATTTCCAGTCGCTCAAACATACCATGTCGCATTCCTTTTTGGTCATCATGCCAAGCTTTTTCTCTTTGCCAATGTTTATGGAGCAAAGAGAAGTTCAGCATGGCATGTGTCTACTTTGCCGTGCTATTGCGAATTTTAACATGCTGAGGTTTTTGATATTATGATCGTTAAGTTTAAATAATTGAGTTTTCCCCACGTTTATTCTCCTTGCGGGTATTTCTGATGTGTGGGCTGCTGGTATACTCTAAAATAAAGTAAAGGCTTTATAATTTTATGATAAATTATATACTCCAGCCTCAAGTCTACGTGATATTTTCTTTATTAACAGGAACGCGATAACTTCTTCAAGAAGACAACAAGTGTTCGCCCCCCAAACCTATATTACAGTGGTATCAAATCACCACAAAGACTCCTTCGAGTTTCGCATTTGACGCAACGATGGGTGAAGAGGGAGATAACCAATTTTGATTACTTAATGCAGTTAAATACGATTGCAGGAAGAACGTATAACGATTTGGCGCAGTATCCGATCTTCCCATGGGTGATTACAGATTATGAATCCAACGAGCTTGATCTACAGAATCCTTCAGTCTTCCGTGATTTGTCACGTCCAATCGGTGCCCTGAATCCAGATCGGCTTGAAGGATTAGAAATAAGGTATTAACAAATATAAAATGCTACAGATTCATCACTGAGTTGATGGGGGCTATTCATTTTGGGTTGCTTCAGATTAAAGTTGGAGATTCTATTCAAAAATAATCAGAAGATTCACTTTACTTAGAAACAAGATAAGCTGAGTTATAATTAATATGTATTATTGAGTACGTCCTTGGTTTATGTACTTGTTGTCTGCTTTAATCAGAGTCCAGAAAAATATCCAATGCACATAAGTTTAAGCCCAAGTTATGCAGTAGCACTGGCAGATTCAATCTTTTGAAGAAAAGTCTTTTTTGATTTTATCGTTAATAGGAGCAGTCTGTGTCTAACAATACTGGTGCTTAGTTATGCTCGTTGATGTAGTCTGTATTTTACGATGATGATGCTTAGATATGCCCGTTGATTTAAGGCCTGTTTATATGAAAAAAAAATCATCCCACCTTCCAGCGTGTGAACAAAGAGATGAGATCCCACTCTTCTATAAAATCTTTTGTGCTTTTTGTCTTGCGATTATGTTGAAAATAAGCTAGCTCGGCTGAGTGAGAACCCACTGCATGAGAGGTGGGATCTCACTGAGGAGGGATAAACTTTTTCCAAATAAACGCTGAATGGTGGGATAAATATGCTCATATAAACAGGCCCTTAGTCTGCCTAAGTTAATTTAGGCAAAAATTGGTGTTTAAAACGAAATGATCCTGGCATTGATCAATCAAAATTGGTTGCAGGTACAAGGACCTAGTGGATCCGAGTGGCTTCCAACTTCCTTGTCATTATTTAACCCACTACTCAAATGCTGCCATCGTGCTCCATTATCTGCTTCGTGTTGAGCCGTTCACAAGTCTACATATAAAACTGCAGGGAGGAAGATTTGACTGTCCAGACCGGCAGTTTTACTCAATTGCCAAATCATGGAATGGCATAATGAATGGCGCTGGTGATGTCCGAGAACTCATTCCGGAATTCTTCTGTTTTCCAGATTTTCTATCTAACATCAATAAGCTTGATCTTGGAAATTTGCAGGTATAAGATTTCTATATTTGTCTTGCGAATTTTGCTACTTAACACCTCAACTGCTTTGATGTACACCATGAGCCATCAGCGGGAAATTCGCTTCAGTCTCTTAACGTTTTATTTCGATATGTAATTACTGTTTTGGAGGATAACAGGTGCATGGTATACTCTCGCTGTTTGAACTGCCTGGCTCCATTGATCCTCCTAATTCAACGAATACTTGCCCTTGAAATGACGCTGAATATAGCTCAGCAGTGTTTCCATTCCAATCCATGTCTCTATCATTTCCTTCTTTAAACGGTTTCATGCCGGGATTGGTAGGGCTTTCTCCAAGAGAAAGGAGTCTAGTAGATACTCACAATCTAGGATTAATGCCGAGATGACATCACTTAGCCAAACGTTTTCTTTTAAGCCATTTATCAGTTGCTAAAATGAAAATCATTTTCAACCAAACGTTTTGCGTTGTGAGGGTTTGAATAGCAACGGAATTAAGATAGAGATACATATCTACCGAAATGCAATAAATCGATTACCGACTTGTGACAGAACATGTATGATTTCGATGTAAGCAATGTGGTAGTGTAATTGTCTCAATAGACTATGTGGTACTAAAGGTCCCTTTACTAATGGAAGTGTCTTCAATAGCGAAACGGTCTAGTTCAACTGTCATTGAATGGTGTCTTATTTCAAAATGGATGCCATTATAAGATAATGAGAACTCTTTTAAGGAACCCAAAAAGGGGAAAAGTTCCTGCAGAGACAGAGACCTCAGCTCTGTTAAGGCTGATTTCCACGAGGCGAATTTCGCAGCGAATTTGCGGCGAAATCGCTGATGAAGGCATCAAAGCATGCGCAGTTTTGATTTTTGATTTCGCAGCGAATTCGCAAGAAGGTAGAAAAGAGTTCTACTTTTTCTCGGCGAAATATTTCGCAGCACCTAATAACCAGTCAAAGCATGGTAAATTTGCTTGATTTGTAAGAAAACAATCTTGGAACATTCGCCATGCGTGCAGTTCTGAAAATGGGCGTCTTTAAGTTGAGTTTTGGCGGAAATTATTATATAATTTCGCAGCGAATTCGCAGTCTCGTGGAAATCAAAGACAATTTCGAAGCGAATTCGGTGAGAAATTCGCCTCGTGGAAATCAGCCTTTAGAGTCTATTAGAATATCTGTACCACAAGAAACAGTCTTGGAGCCTATTGTTTTCATATTCTCATATTCTTTATTAACATGTCGTTTTGTTACAAATATTTGATAGGCATCGGAATTCCAAAATAAGGTAAAATAATAATTGGAGCCCTTTTTATTTTTAAGACGTTTTTCATCGAGTAATCAATAAGTAAAGAATTTTTATATACATATTTTGTGAACATTTTCACAGCACCTCTTTCTGAGCATACCATTTTCAGAGCATACCATTTTCAGAGCTTTCCACAAAATGTGCATGCTCAAAGACAATATATTTTGCAGAAAATCTACTGTATTTGTAACAATATTTTAACTCATTTCAATCACATTATGCAGCCTAAGTATCAGGATGAAGATCTGTTTATTTTTACGTTTGTTGTTCGGCTGAGTGATCTGGGGCAACGTATCCTCTCTAAATTTTGCAAAAAGGTTTTTGTATTTGTGAGGCTTTTTAAAGGTTTCTTGCAAATTTAGTAACCCCAACAGTGTGGTTATTATTTCTAATCATATAAGACGGTTTGACACTCTATTAATGGCCCATTGCCGTGTTAATGAGGCTATGTTGCATAGCTTAGACATTTTTATAATAACGACGGGAACATTCTGCATTATGACGATGCACGGTACTTTTCTTTACTTTACAGTTAATTTTTATGCTTCAAGCAGCGTGTCTGAGTAACATGACAGCAAAAAGTGTTGATATTTGGTGAGGTTTGGTTGCAATGCCAGTGCAGACGAAAGAGCGAAATATAATGTTTCGAAATTGGTCTTGCTATGAAGCTATTTTGACGCATGTGTGATTTGTTGATTCTTCGCTGCGAGAGGCATATTATACCGAGTCAGTACCCGAGCAGGCCCTCATGTTTTAATAAAAAGCTAATTCTATTATATAACGCTATGTACGTGTTTTCGTTTCAAGTCTATAGACATGTCTGCCCTTGCCTTGTCTCTAATTAGGTCCCATTCTGTGCATTTATTGTATATAAAGTGATAGTTTTGAAAAGTCAATGTACGCCTTCTCTCACGATTGACGCAAGTACTTCTTGACTGGATGGAGATCGTTGCTATAGATATTGGTTACCAAAGTTCATCCACTGCATCATTTCTTGTTTGGTTTGCATAGGGTGTATCTTATGTTGTTTCTCAGATATGAATCCAGGCCGTTCTCTTATTCTTTCTCAGATAGACGGACTGAAACTTCTTCCGTTTGTGCACAATAATTTTAGGAATTCTAGGCGACAATTAGTGTTCCTTGAGAATCTGCGTTTGATTATTCATCATATCTTGTGGTTGTTTTGTTTTTTCACCCGGTTTTATATTTTTTGTCAGCAATCTATGATAAAACGGTTGATGATATAAGGGTTGTGAAGCAGTATTTTGTGGAAATTGGGAAAATATGAATTAAGAAACATAATTCATTGTCAAGTAGGGACAATTTTGCTACTGTGTTGTCTTAAAACCGGTAACGGTCTTCTATAGTAAATTAAAGGAACGTCAAATGTTATTTTTCTGATTTTTACCTTTGAAAATACAGCTGTTCTCGTTTCGAAAATTATTGTTTATCACGGGTGCCAATTTAGTTTACTGTAATATACAAGACTTATAACCTTATAATTGTACCATATATGGTGGGAATTGCGATAATGTTAGAAGGATGAATACGAGTTATCTTTAAGCTTTCAATTTTTGGGTCTCTGTGTGGTTTTACAGCATTTTGTTTTTATTTCTTTGTAGGCCGGCAAAAAGATAGATGACGTTCTTCTCCCTCCCTGGGCCTCATCACCTGATGAATTCATCTATAAGCAAAGACTTGCTTTAGAATCAGAACACGTGTCAATGAACCTGCATCACTGGATTGACTTGATCTTTGGTTATAAACAGAGAGGGGATGAAGCTGTCAAAGCATATAATGTTTTTCATCATTATTCTTACGAAGGTTGGTTTGTTAGAGCTATTCAAACATGTTTTTAGTGTTAGAATTCAATAAGAAAAACTGAACAATTGATTGAGCAGTATCAGCTCTCTTAATGTTGTTGTTGTTGTTGTTTTCGTTCTTAGAATGATGTATGGCCTAACCTGGTTGTTGAAACTTTTTAATATCCACGTGTATCGTGAATATGAAGGAATATACATTACTTGTGTTGAAGTTAAAAGGTTTATAGATGGTTTTCCTTCTGGCTTGAAGTATTTTTAACATTTAGTACTTGGTAACTGACCTGATCTTTTGCATATGCTCTGCGTCCTCAAAGATCGTCAAGTCATTGCAGCAATCTCCACAACATCCTAACCGACGAAATCCAATGTATCAGCCTGGTTTTGCTTAAAGAAGATAAAAAAACTTTTTTCTAAAACAGCAAAACCAGACTCAAAACATGATCCCACTGTAACCCTATTGCTGTTGATGCTCCTCAAGAATCGCTCCTTGTTCCACAACTTTTCATGACTCTTCGTCAGATCGCCGAAAGCAGCGTTTCATGTGAAATGTTGCGCGAAAATGCAGAACCACGTAAAGTTATTTTCGTCAGACTATTCTAGTTGTAGAGGCAGTTAATGGGCACTCAATGATATCATTCAATCTTTCCTGCAGTTTTGAAATTTATGTCATTAAATGATCCAACCTTATGCCATGAACACAATGTTTATTCTGTTTGCGAATTTACAGGAAGTGTAGACTTGGATGTTATCGATGATCCTTTCGAGCGCAAAGCAGTCGAAGGAATAATCAACAACTTTGGACAGACTCCCTGCCAACTGTTGAATAAGCCCCACCCAGTGCGAAGATCAGTCGAAGAGCTAAAGCAACAAGCAAGTAAACAAAAGCATGTGCTTGAAGATCTCAACAGTGCTAATTTCTCTCTGATTAAGGTTAGTAGGCGTAGTGTATGCTTAATGAAAGACTGCATTCTCAACAGGTTCTTCGATGAAACCTTTTTGTCAGTTATAAAAAAAGGCTCAAACTGTTTATTCATACAACGGATGTCGGGGACAACTTTTATTTCATCTTTCCGTTCACTTTTTATAGCCTTAGTATTATTAAATATTGTAAATTAGGTTTGATTGGTAAATTTCTTTTGTTACTAGTATTTTAACAAGTTATTAGCTCTTATTTTAATCTTTTAAACAGGTCAGGTTGAAAAACATATGTATGAACATTTAACCTGTATAAATATTATAAAATAAAAAAAAAATTAAAAAATGTTCGTTTGCATATATAGCTACTAAAGCATGTATTTCGCAACTCACGTAGTCTTTAATTTTTAGCACCAAAGGTCTATTAATATTTATCCACGATACTCACACACGTGCATGTAAATAACCATATTTTAGGTCAACACCAATGGGCCTCCACTAATCTTCCTTGGTACCCAGAAAACACGCCAGCGTTCCTTGTTGCATCATGGGATGCCTGACCCACTTATTACTGTTGATAAGAATTCGGTTATTGGGTTTCATGGATGGCTGCCGTATTCAGAAGACAAAAGTGGCTCTTTCTCGTTTGCCCTCGATCCAAATTTAAACCAAAAGTCATCCAGAGCGAGGTTAGTAGTGTCACCTCACATTGATGGTTTGCTTAGTCCTTGATTGATTATTAACCTACGTTTGAACTTTGACCTTGATGCCGATATGATATCATGGCAATCGAAAGCAGAGGGGCTTAGGGGGGACTGCAGATCTCCAATAACTTCAAGACCGTGTGATAGATGTATCCATGTTATCTCATAAACCTTTGTGAAAATCTTATCGTTTTATCTAAGAATCTCTGGAAATGCTTCTATTTTTACGGAAATCTCATATGCTGTTCACTAGAGTAAATTTCCCCTCGTTCCAGACTTTCTTTTGTAATAGAGTCCTAAATGGGCAAGAGCTGAATGGTCAGCCCAAAATATGCATTTCGATTCGACGATACTGGATATTGTTGATGATATGCTGTTTTTGTTACTGTTTGTTGACATTGCTCTTTCCATGTCGCATTTAGCTGTTTAATGGACTAGGACCAGAATTATCAATAATCTGTAAATAATGTTATCTAAAATACTTATTGAATACAGATGCCTTTCTATATAAAGAGTCTTTCGAAGTTAATTACCAGCCATGATATAATTGTTTAGCTATTTTGGTATTATTTCGTAATTTTGCACGTGAAAATCTGTCTACATGTTTATTTGTCTTTTTTGCCTAATTCAAGAATAAATTACATTTGATATTTCTTTTTCGCGATATTTCACGAAAAATAGTTTTGTTGTGGTATACTCTTCAGTCATTGACTGGCATTTCCATAACAGCGTGAATAAATCTATATACTCCTTGTATTTCATAGAAATTCTCTGAATAGACATCAAAGCACATGGTCCCCCGATGTTCCAAGGACGTCTCAGCTGTTTGCCTTTACGCCGGATGGAAAACTGTTAATTTGCTGTGGATTTTGGGATGATTCTATTCGTGTGCTGAATGGAAAGGGGAAACTGCTTAGTGTCATATATCAACATTTAGGTAAAAAGCTCTGTGTTTGCATTTAGAAAAAAGTAGATGGGCTTTATTTTGTTTTATGGGTTGGGTCCCGAAGATGAGCTGTACGAATTTCTTGTAAAAAGTACACTATTAATAAGCCAGCAACATGATGAGAAAAGCCAGTTATCTTTCCTTGGCAGCCTTTCGACGTCTAGATGTCACCACCGCGTAACCATTGCTTATGTGCGGTGGGCAAGAATCGAGCGCCAAATTTCTTGCATCCAAGTGGTGGTCAGACACCACTGTCTCGTGAATTATGTTAATAATGAAAGGGGTCCATATGACTAAAATAGAATGAAAGAGCTCTGGGCAGTGGAAAAATAATATGGCTGGATGTGTTTACGTACCTTTGAAGAAGGAGGCAAGCTGCTTGCTCATTAAAAAGAGTTTAATTTTAGCATGAATAGGAAAACATCTAATGATGTTTGCCATAATCATATCCATATTTGAGTCGCTTTTTCCTTTTTTACAGATGTAGTATCCTGCGTATCATTGGACCCGTCCGGACACTATTTCATTTCAGGGTCTTATGACGCAAGGTGCATGGTATGGCGTATACAACATCACGCTGGCCTAGCCACAGAAGTATTAGGACAGCCGTTGCAAACTTTATACGGTCATGACAATGCTGTCAATACAGTTGGCATGATATGGGAGCTTGACATGGCGGTCAGTGGGTCAAAGGTCTGTTAACGTTTATTTATTATAGAAATTTTAGAATGCGGGCGTTCTACGAGGGCACATCTTTAAGAGAAGATAAATTATTAAGCTAACAATCACAAAGTTAGCCTAGTGATGTTTTCTCTCTTTTTCCTGAGGATCGCAATTTGGTGCCAATGTAAGTTGAACAGTAATGCATGAGAATGAACCGGGCAAATCATCATGCAGAAGTTTGCATCCATGAAAGGGTTTATTGCGTGTCTGATTCACGGTCCTCAATCCTATATACGGTGCCTGATTCAGGTAGAAATTTTGTTAAAGTTAAGACACTACGTTTGGTTCTGCGTACAGAAAGGGGGCTCCATATCGTCAGCTACTGCTCCGAAGGACGTGGCCAATGTATGTTAGTTTTCTGTTATTAATTGTATCTAAAGATCTGCGTTCACAATCGATCTTTTGAAGAACTTCATCGTTTTCTTCCTTTCTGTCTAGCTTTTCCTTAAAATACGTGTACTAAATGTTAGCACATTATATAGATTCTCTGAGAGTTTTTAGTAAGATGTCTATGCTGATCCATAGAACTAGCTAGCACTTGCGCAATCCTTCTCGCATAGCAACAATGTATCAAGGGTTTCCATCACCACAGACCTCATGTTGTTAATGTAGACCACGCCAAAGATTACTCAATACACATTCTTTTGAAATCTCATGGCACTTTCAATAAAGATTGCAAAAGTTGCTCTTGAAATTGTCATCAACATGTTTTCGTCAAAATGAACGTTGTAGGAACTAACATGATTTTTTATAATTATTCACAAGAATGCTGATATGCTTTTCTGTCACAGCTGTTGTGTGATGAAAATGCAACACTCATTGTTTTTGCTCCTGCATGCAATCGTCACGTTCATGTGAATTCCTGCATGCAATCGCGAGGCGTTCTCTAAAGAACTTTGCAGAGAATAATTTAGAATTTCAGATCTGAGTATAAGGCTAACAGTATCCTGGATCCTGGCCATGAACTCGTCCCAAACCACTTTTCTGGGTCTGAAGAGAAACCATGTTAATCCTGTCGCCTACCTAACCTTGTTCTGCAGGGTTATCAAGTAAAGGAAAGGAGCATGCAATTCACGACCAATATCCTTTAAAGAGTAGCATTTTCCTTTCAAGAAAGGATGATTTTCAGTTTTCCTCCTCAGAGGCTGGTCGTCAAAGTAGAACTGCTCGAGCCCTCCTTTTAAACCCCTCTATCCCAAAAGGTCCGGTTCACCTTCATTTTTCTTTTTCCTCACATGTGTAGACACCTGAAATTAGCAATACCATTTTCTGGTCTTGCCTCTCCCAGTTAATCAGATGCAAATCAAGTATTGCTAAACAAATATACTGTCTTTTTTCCTTACATGCATTAGACTTCGAAATCAAACTTTTATCCTTTCCTGGGAAATTTGTCTGCTGTTTTTTCAGTCTCTTTTAAGGGTAAATCATTTTGTATTCTAATTGCACCCCCCCCCCCTTCCTCTTGTAAATCACAGCTCAAACTAACATCTCACATGTTTAATTGCAGGATGGCAGTTGCATCATTCACACAATCAAAAAAGGACAGTTCGTCATGACGTTGCGCCCAGACCCTCTTCTTTTGGACAGCAATATATGTAAAGTTTGCCTCACTAAATACGGAAAGGTGATGGTGTACAGTACTCACAATTACAAAGACGGGGTAAGACCTTCAAACTCTGTCTAAGCAAGTCCTGCGATGATCGGTTTTTGGCTTTTTATTTCAAGCTCTTCAAGTTCAATTTTTTTTATTTTGTATAAAAATATTAATGACCTTAGTTTTTACGATGTCCTTTCTAGTCTCTTTTACAATTTTATTAATGGGTGAAGTTTTTTCTTAATTTTCAATTCACGTGCTTTAAATTTGATTCATGAAGTTTTGTACTTCGCAAATCAAGAACAGTTGATATTTGTCAGGCTGCCTCATTTGAGCGAATATGCGTTCTAACTGCTTATCTTTACTGTAAAAGATAAATTTAGTTTCTAAAGTACGATAAGCAATTTCGCTTAGAAAGTAACTGACAAGGTCAAATACTAGTATGATTTTTACGATGATGCTTCTCGTTGAATCTATTACTTGTATTCAAGTATTCTGCCACTAAACAACGTACAGATGTATATACGTAATAGAAATAGAATTGAAATCCATTGGTTAGTCCAATAAATGACAGCAGTTTTCCCAGCTATTCCTTCAGAAACATCAAATGCAAACAAGCTGCTCAAAAATCCTTGTGGGTCTGGAAATGACCAGTTGCCTAAAAATTTATTTTCTTCCTCGCAACAGAGCTTCCACTCAAGTGCCTGGATGCAACATATCCGTGCACTACAGCTTCAGATAAAGCAGAACCTGATATTTTTTTAAAGAAACTTTTAGGCCTAGAATGCCTAGTATGGATACAATTTTTGACATTTTATGCTGCATCCCCTCTCCCCCTTCCAAAATTCATTTCAAATAGCTGTGATATTTAACATTATAACCGACGTTTTGGGGGGAGAGAGCTGCGATGTCGGTGTTTTTAACCCGAAATAGTTTATTCTTTTAAATAACGCTTGAAATCTGCGCGTCCTAAGGACTTTTGGCAGTGCTTTTATGCATATTAGCCATCAGTTAATCAAAGGGTTCTTTCTAGCGATTCCTCTTTAATGTTATATATGCATATTATAGAACTGTTTGTTGTTGCTGCTATGTATGTTTCATGATTTATAATCTTGAATTTTCTTTTAGGTTGATTATGTATTGTCCACGTATACTGTAAATGGAAACTTGATAGCTAAAATGCAGTTAAACGAAGCCATATTGGATATGATTGTTGTGGAGGAGCATCTTATATCAGGGGGCGTACGAGGGTCTCTTGTTGTTAGAGATGTTCACAAGTAAGTTAATTTTTACGCTTTATTGCTCACAACTTTCGTATAACAAGGCCTGTGCACCTGTTTCCTGCTACTCGCGTTTTTACCATTGTATCAGAATTCCTACCAGTCTCGTCATAACGAATTCATATTGGGGAGCTGTCCATTGTATTTCTCCCCATTTAGTGCACTAATGTAAAGGAAGTGAAGTACAGTTAAACAATTAATGGGAGGCTCAAGCCTTTCCCCAGCTCCCCAGCTCCCCAACTCACCCCCCCCCCCACTTCCAACGGCCTTTCCTAAACATGATAAATCCCGTTAAAATTTAGATCTCCGTAATTCATATTCGTAAAATGCGGTGAAAATATGCATTAGCAACCCTTTTAAGTCTAATATTAATTTAGACGCTTGAAATTTCGGCATAAAATCTACTTCTATCCAATTGATTATGTATCACAAAGCCGGCTTTCCATCTTTGAAATTCTGTTTTCTTGAGTCAAAGCGACAATATTTGTTGCTAGTGTATCCATGCTAACCCTTTGATATTTTCTAGGAGTAATTAGATTATCATACTGCTATAATGAGAGTTAGATTATGTAAATATCAAATGATCGTCAATTACTGTTAATCTCAGACGCCTACTGCTGTCAAAATACGATTTATTCGCATTACTCTCCTGCGAAGACGTAAGGGGTAACTTCCAAAATATACAACTATTATTTGGTAAGACAGCTTCACGAAGAGCGAGAAAATAGATTCAGAGAGCTCATGCTTCGTTTTATGAAAAACTTTCTCGAGTGGTGTTGAACGATCCCCTGGAGTTTCAGAGAGTCTTTTGGTTCTAATCAGGCCACGTGTTTGTGAATTCAGTGCAAGAGAATTGTCAAACCTAATGAAGGAGTGTCTCTATACCTCGCATAACCATTTCTGCAATTTGCTAAAATAGATTGAATAATGCTGATAATGACGAATAAGAGTATTTATTACAAAAAATTCATAGGATGTGCGAATAAAGGAGAGGCCACAATAGCCAGCTGCTCGACGGACTCTGGAGGAAATCTTGCGGCGAAAAATCGATAAAATAGTACTATATAAGGAACACCGCAACGCGACGAGAATAAACAACAACAACAAACACACAAATCAGTGATGGCTCATATTACGCCCCGGCATACGGGGCTTCATCAAAGCAAAAGTACACGGAATAAAATTTACAAATTTCAAAGAGGCGATGGTGGTGTCGGATTGGCTGATGTGGAATAGTGTGAATGCAGCGCAGTGGTAGGGGAGGGAAGGGTGGCGAATGAGAGATGGTCGTCGGTGGTGGTGATGACGCGATCTTATCATCATCACACCCGTCAAGAGACCCACTAAATGCGCATGTTTTCTATGTTTGACATCAAAAGCTAAAGAGTGGGGCTTAATAGAGAGGGTGGCTCACTTAAAGTTTTTGCTTGAAAAGGGGGGACTTTATAGAGAGGGGCTTAATAGAGAGAGGGGCTTAATAGAGCTTTTACGGTAAGCGTAAATATATCTGTACAGTTAATACAGTGTAAGAGATTCTCAGTCAGCTCAAACTAATTCCAAGATGCCATTTTATTATTAAATGGATGCAAGAATGATTTCATATGACACGATTGGAGTAGCTCGGATTATCCATTTTTTGTTAATAACCAGGCAATATACAGACAAGTATTTGACCGATTTAAGTCTGTATCGACCAAATTTAAGCCTTTTTCAGTTAAAATTGGCTCTGAAGAAGCAAATATCTTAGAACATGCTTAGCCTTTTAGTCTAAGGCTCTTCAGAGTATAAAACGTCAAAAAATAAATGATTCCAAAGTTTATTGTATCAATTACACTGTCAATATCGCAAATATTTCTATGTTTAATTATCATGACGTAACAAGTGCGAGAAATAACGTTTGATCATGTTCTCTTTGCAAACAGACATTAGTTTTTTGTTAATGCTAAAGATGTATTCGTGATTTTCTTACATTTCTTTTGGCACTAAGTTGATTTTCATGATTCTTCTTATAAACTATCTTCTTTTTGTCCCTAGGCTTCTCTGTTTTGCTTTAAAATCTTTATCTAAGTTATCTATCAAAAATTTTGAACTTTAGTGCAGTTATCTTTGACTTATAAGACTTCAGCTTGAGTTTGTGAATGGTGATAGATTTGTTGTGCTTTCTCGTGTGTTTGTTTATTATCAATTAAGTTATGGTGTTTTTTTTCAGGTTGGAGGTGCCAATTATAGCTAAAAACTTGCAGTACCCAATACACTGTGTATCTGCTACACCAGACTGTACTCATATTTTCGCGTGCAGAGAGGACGGTAATGTAATCGTTGTTGGTTCGTAGTTTCTTAGAGAATTCAATCAATATTTTGGGTATAATTGTATAATATCTAATATCTGGGCGATGTGAATTTTCATTTTTGTATTTAACTTTGGCAATATTAAAAGTTGTAATAGAACTTTGAACTGAAATCAGCAGCTCAAAAGAGTTTTGTGTTTCGAGAAATATTTGCTGAATCAGGGTTGATAAAGTGTCTTTTGGTAAACTCTTTCAGTCAGTTTCTAAGTGTGTCCCATCTACACGTGACACGGTAACTTTTATCAGTTTAGACACACTACCCGTACTCATTATGGTTCGATTAACCAGCACGTGAGCAGTCACAGGCATGTCGAAAGTTGTTCTTTGAATGAGATCACAGCAGTATAGATTGGATTTTACCTAAATTCGCCTGCCTATAGGAACACATTAGAAACTTGCTACGTTGAAAGAGATTTGTCCATGTTATTAATGCAGTCGAAATGTAAAGATATAGTCTGGGATGCTCCTATTACATGAAAAAGCTTATTGCCGTTGCATCCATAAATCACTCAAAATTTGAATCTTGAATTTGAATGACATAGAATCACGGTCAGATAACCCAAAACGTTACTGGTATTCAGGTCCGAGATTCTGATGAGAATCTTCATCTAATTAGAGGAAGTAGCCATTTATTCTTTTTTGTCATAATCCCTCAAAAAGTAGGAACGTTGCTACGCAGGTCTGCATGTAAATATTTTCGTGTTATCAATATAATGGTATTGCAAATCTTCTTTACATGTGAGTAGATCATCGTCACATGTCTTTGAAGTTTTTGCGATTAAACATGGGATTATTGAATTCTTAGATAAATGTAAACGACATGTTTTTGTTTAGCTTCAACTTCAGTCCTTAAGTTTATGATTTTTCATCGGCCGTGTAAAAAGTTTTGTATATATTGCCCAATTTCCCAAATCACTGTCTTCAGATTTCTTCTGCCGCTTCGTGTGACAATTTTTTCTCATCGACTGGACATTTTATGAAATGCTGCACTGTAATCAACATTTTCACGATTTAGTATATATGCAATATATACAATAATTAATACAGTATGACAATATTCTTCAGGGTTTTGCAGAATTTTGCCTGGTGCCACATTGCTTTGCACGAGAAAATATTCCAATGCCTAATCAAGAAATACAAAATCTAGAAAAGCAAAGCCATTCCACGCTGTTTCGCTAGTTCCTGATCTATTCACGTAAATTTTGTTGGCTTGCAAGGCGGCAATTGATAGACAAAAATCGTCAGTAAGACAAACGAAGATAAATGCCAGCAATGTTTATGTCAGGCAACAGTTGTTTCAAAATCAACCATAAAAGAGAATTGTGAATTTCTGCAAACGCAGTTCAACCACCCAACCACCTCCTTATCCAGCTGCAACCTTTATCCCACGATCCCTATTCTTTACTGATTGTTATTTTGTTGCTGCAGAATTGCATTTTCAAGGTTATGGGTTGTAAAATTTACGTCGAGTTTAATTTCAATGAGTTGTTGATTGGAAATGCTTTGGCGTTAAGAACAGATGCAAGTCAATTTTACTGGTGCAGCTGCTGTATCGTTTGTAGCCCATTTGAATAGTCATATCGAGCTGACGCTACAATTTCTTATTTCATTCTTAGGCTAAGATATCCTGCTGAATATTGAGATTTTTATGTTTATTTTTGTGGTACACAACATAGACTTCTGTTCCAGCAACGTGCTAAAATAATTTTGCAATTATGCCTTATCTCTATGTAAACGCTGTATATTGCAGAAATTTGAAGAAAGCGTAGGTGCCCAAGGTGATATCGTCATCAACTTCATTATCGACAATTTCTTGATGCATGAAAATTATCATATCTTTAGCAAAGTTAAAGCGCTTGAATGCACTGTCGAAGGTTGCACCTTGGAATGCAGATGCGTCAAATGATCTGGGCACTCCCCTCCAGTCCACGAAGAAGTCAATTAAAACCCTGATTGAAAAATTGGGGAGGCTAATGCCAGTGAAGAAGGGCATCGGCAACTCTACCTAAACATTCTGTGGACTCACAGGACGACTGCTCTCTCTATAGGCACTTCCTGTACACATGGCTTAGTATGAGGGATCAAAATTTACCTTATCTCAGTTTTTTGTCCTTCGCTAAAAGCCATTGACAAGTAATTTCCAGAAGTCTACACCTCCCTATAACGGGCGGCGAGATAGGTTGAAATGAATATAAGTCATGTGTCCACTTTGTTGAGTTTATAGCTGACGGTAAATCAGATGTCCGCTATAACGTGGTTATAATTGGCTGTGCCCGGTATATTCGGTCTATTAAGGCTGCGAGTGGTGTATCACTGTATAATGTAATTTCAGACCAAAGCAATTAAAGAGTCTTCAAAGCCCTAAGAGACAGCAACGATAGCATTGCAGTAGTACTAGACCTGTATGATTTTGACTAACAATACACTCATGCTTTTAAGGAACTTTGCTAAAAGCAGTGACTGTGGCAGTTCTGAATGTGTCGTTTAAAAAAAGCTCCTATAGATTGTGAAAAATTGTTTTGTAATGGTTGTTGCAAAGACTTACGCCTAAGAAGAGCGTCGATATAAAACAAGTTTCTGCATCCAATCATTGGCAAGAGAAAATGCTCTGGTCGAGAAGACCTGCAAAGATCAGAACTATTTGTCTATTTTTCTATAGTTACTGGTTAAGCAGATTTGAGCCTTCCTTGCTTTCTGCGTGTCGATTACGTTTCTGGGAATTATCTGAGAATTACAGGGTAGGCTGCCAAATTCCTTGTTTCCTTGTTTTTTATCAAATTTTAACTAATTTCGGTTCAACTAGTTTTGATTCCAGATCCTATGGTCACTGTTTGTTACCTCTTTCAAGACGTTTTTATCTCTTTCTTTCTCAACCCTCCTTGCTCCCTGCATACTTGGCTCCCATTTCTCGACGATGCTTTCCTTGTTCTGTCTAGTGCCTTGTTCTTTTCCTGTCTCGATTGCCATTAAACGCACATCGGAGCTGCAAAAATTACGTCTACCCCTATTGAACCCAATAGATGCAACTGTTAAATGATAGTTGTGAGAATGGCTCAGTGTTGGTTGCGGACAACAGATCAGTGGTGTGTTGTTTGAGTTACTGACGTGAAAAATTTCCCCTTAGAGTGAAGTTTGTTGCTGGCTCTCTGCAATTCCAGGCGTAGGAATCACGAGGTGTGGTCACATTGAGAGGAAGAACCAAAACATTGCTCAATAAGCATAGGTTCCCAGTTTCCTAAAAGCTACCTAGGGACGCTTCTTTAGTGAAACGCTTCAGAAAGTGCAAGGGATCCGAATGATTTTGTTCTAGACCTACGTTGACCCACGTGTTGAGCAGTGATTCAATCTATCAAAAAGGGTCGTCGTTGAAGAATTGTCTCTATCAAAAGCATTTTAAATGGTCACCATAGAAAGCATAGCTGTTTTCTCCGTGTCGATTAAATTCAACTCTTTTCCTTGCGAAGGACATTGAGACTTCATTGGCCAGGAAAAGCAAACATGTATTGTCGATGTCCGAATATTTACCTTCGGATGCTAGTTAGAAGTAGATTCAAATAGGAGTCTCTCTTTCGAATGAGTCCAGAACAGTACACACGAAGAGAGAAGACAACCGCACATTCAGCAAGAAATTGAGCTCTAGCCAATTAGACTACTTAGCATAAACAGTTTGCATAAATATAAGCATAAGCACTCTGCTTGCGCAAGTACTGCGCTAGGTCAATGTGCAGTCAAATATTACCGACTTTGCTGGAATCATATGAAGGAAATATATAAAGACAAGAACATACGATCATACTCAAAAGAAAGCAATCACTACACTTGTTTGATATGTTCGAAACATTTCTGAACTTTACAGAATAAAAGCAGTACGAAATACAGGTGCATGTGACGTCATTTGTTGCTAGAGTTCTATACAAAGCAGCGTAAAAAGAATTATATTTGATGTATTTTGAAGAAAAAATGAGAAAATTCTAGCGTTTGATCACAGTTTTTACTTGTACCTTAGTTCTGAAGAGTTATCTGTGTTTCAAACTTGTCTCTTCAAATAATCCCACCAGATACTCCCACAAGCTCCTGGATGTTTCAACGTTCTACCTCAAAATTCAGTTTACTTAGATTTGTATTAAGCAAACAAATGTTAGGTGCAGGTGAGTTTCGATAGAGCCTGCCCGGCAATGGCGTCGCCACCTCGAGAAAACTTGAGTGGACAAAAACAAATTTTCTCGCCCACGCCATTCAGACTCTTGGAAAATCCTTTTCTTATTATTTTCTATCTACTTTGAAAATTTTTAGACCAGCAACTTTCTCAAGCAGCATTTTCGTTAACAGTGGCTTTTAGGACTGTGCAAAAATCGATATCGATCTGATCTGCCCAACCCAGACATGTCCACCCCAGTCCACTCCGTGATGACGACACTGTTGCCCGAGACATAACAATATTCCTTGCTTGGAATTCTTTTTGCAGCTGTATGTTTGTATGGTTTCTTGACGGCACGAAAATATCTTCAGGCGTCAGTTGTTAACAATTGCCAGCGACTTTGTTGAATAAATTTTGGCTTTGACTAATTACTTTAACATTGGACCGTGCAGTGATATTTTAAGTGCTTTGGAACAGATGCTCATGAAAACTGAGGGCTAAAATTTCACGCAATACTACCCGCTGCAAAAGTTCTGCCTTAAGTCTAGTCCACACAACACCTTACTCAGCAAACGGCGGCGATTTTAGCTTTTTGATAACAAAATCACAAGTCAGCAGAGCAGAGCAACAGGATAGTTTGCTGACTGAGAAAACACCAAATGCTTAAGCATCTGTTGTCCACTGGCTGACGCTATGGCAAAACTATTCTACGTCATAATAGAGGCTTAAAACGAGACGTAGACAAAGCATTACCAATGATTTCGATACCTTCTCCTTCACAATTGACTTTTGTAGTTTCAAAGTTTGCCCCAACCCCATATAAATGTATGTGTTCCTTTAAAGAGGTATTGTCTATTTGTAAAAAAGCTGCAGGTATAAAACTGCCATGTAAAAGAGTTTTTCGAATAAAACGATGCACCGAAATGTTATCTCTTTAGGTTATATTTCTACTCTGACACAATTCATTAAGGCTAGTTTTTTCTGCATGTCCTTTTGAATTTTTTATTCCTGTATAAGGATTGGCAAGCCAACCCTTTTTGCGATGAAGTCCTTGTTGCCAGAAGAATGCGAAGCTTTGATGCTTAAACTCTACTCCTCTGAGAGACAATGAAATAATTTGCAAAGTGGCATATCTCTGTGGATGTCCTGTTGCCATTTTTTTGCAGAGGGCATTTGGATATACCGTTGTAATTTTGTCATTCGGAAACTGAAGTTGAAGTTTTATCTTGTGGTTTTAAAACGCGTTTGATTTTATGGATAGGCCCTCATTATTTGAACAGCTTCTTCGATGATGACGCCTGCGTTTTGCTTACGAGCTAACTGGTTTGTCTTCAAGGCAAGTGACTACATAGACCGGTGCACGGCATATGATATGTACCCTTTCTTGTCAATTGGTTCTCCAAATTGTCCGCTAAAGTTAATATCAAACCAGAATGGAGCAAAAAGTTAATAACTATGTGAAATAACTATAAAAAAGTCTTCTTAGTCATCGTAAGGTAAAAGTGTGTCTGAAATTTCTAGACGTGGCACAAAATTGTGTTCCCTAAAGAAATATATTGGATGATCATTATGTTGCGTGTGGCTTCGTTACAGTCAATGCCTTGTAGCAGAAAACTAGAATATCAAAATTAAGATGAGAAAGAAGAGCACAGATATATTTCTAAAAGCTTTAAAAAACCTGTCTTTATGAAGCACACTTGATTTTTTTCCATCGTCTTCCTTAACACCTTCGATTTTCTCACCGCCATTTCTCTGGGCGCTGCTGCAAGGCTGAACGCTTATGAATGCTTGGCCATGAAATGACAACAAGTGTTAACAAAACAACTAGACCGATTTGAAGTTAATTAGCGAAAATATAAATAGCTCTGAGAAATAGAATGTGTTAGACTGCCCAAAAATCGCTAGATAAAAACTTTCAACTAGGGCATATGGCAAGTTCAAAATCGCTGATTTGTCACAGTAGGCCCTAGACTCTCAATCAAATCGAGTCTGGTCTTGCTTTAAACCCTCCAAAGCAAAACGAATAATATGAATTTTGTATGAGTAAATGGTGCCACTATCGTGAAGATTATTAGGTTCTTTAGAAATTGAATGCTCCTAAACCTGAAAGGATTTTTTCATAAGACTTAGCAAACGCGCACTAGCCTTAATGAAATTCAATTTTGGCTATTAATAACAATTTTTTAGAGTTTTCATATATTCTAAAAATCTTAAACTAAAGTTTTTTCAAACGCAAATCAGCAATTATCTCTAAATCTTAATCAGTGAAAAACACAAGCAATTATTCTGCCTTGCAAAATTATTTAGAACACGTCGATTATAATCAAAAATATAGGTTACTCGATGCAAAATTCAGAAAACCAGAAGCAATTATCGTCAACTGCTCTATTTAATTAGGTCCCTTATAGATTAAGTTGACTGATATTCGTTCTTTGGTGACATTCGCCACGTAAGGACATTAATGAAATAGAAGTGCCCACAAATAAATGGGCAGTTTTAATCTCAAGACTAAAGATGCATTCTCTCATTTGTGGGACTTCTAGATGGGGCTGCCAGTACATCAATCTAGGAGAGGCTATTATGTGACGGGGATGTTTGAAGTAAACAACCATTCCATCAACTGTCATACCCGGGCCGTGACATGTCACCAAGCCTTGCGACTGCCACTCAGCTCAAGAGCAGGGATAGGCAATAAATTTACTTTAAATATCTTCAAGACTGTATCTGTATCTTGTTATAAGATTCGTCTTTGTGTCAGTGAAAATATATTGAAAGAAAATACTTTCTTGTTGTAATAGAATCTTGCAATACGGTATTACATGAATGACCATCTCGCACAAGGAGCAAATGAGAAACAATGCCTTCATCAATAATTACCAGATTAGCCAGAACAACTAGGGGGAAGAGGAAGATGGGGTGCAGAAAATCTTTCCTGTTACGATACATTAGGTGACCTTGCAGTTGTTGAGAAACTGAAAGAGCTCAATGAAGGTGCCCAAGAGCTGGTTCTTGTGGAACACCTCATTCTGTAGTAACTTTACTTAGACGATATCTTCTTTGTGGCTCTGTTGGCTCTTCCTTGTGGAGGTGGAGCCAAAAGATTATTTTCACGTAACTTTGTTTTAGTAGCTTTTTATTCGAGTCATTCTGATACCATCTTAGCAGTTGGATAATTGCCGTTGGGGAAGGGATCGAAGCTCCAATGCAGCATCAAGAGCAAGGAAGCTTAGAGCTGCTTTAATGTATGTACAATTTTCATCTTAAAAATGTGTATTTCTACTCCTTATCAAGGTAATAAATAAAACTAAACAAAGCAAAATTTTAACCATAACTTCTGTTGAGCTGGGGGCAAAGAACATGACGTTGTCGAGGCGCTTTCATACTAAACTCTACAATTATGCCATTGATTTATAACATAAAATCTTCTTCTAGAAGATGCAAAAATGATACATAGCTAAAAAGACAATAACCACAATAAAAGCAGTCTGTACATACATTGTTGCGACAGCTAAAGGCTCAAATAACATTCTACTTGAGATAAAGTATATTGTAAATAATTATGGGTGTTTCGAGAATCAAAGGCTT